AACACTCAGAGGTAATGCACAAAGTTCAGCCAATAAAGCTTGTATTTATTGACAAATACAACCTCAATCTCATCTTGTATTTGATTAAAATAGACTTCAGATGAATATTGAAATGAACTGGATGGTGTTTGTCCATTGCCAGGATATATTGAATATGATATACCACTTGTTTGTCATTGCTCACATTTTTTTAATCTCTGACAAAATATTTTGCCCACTTGGGACTTGAACAGAGGCATCGGCAGATGAAATGTGTTACTACGGTCATGTTTTTTTCAATGCTCTCTTAAAAAAATATCTATATCTTTAATCAGTCAAACCAGAGGAGGATTAAAGCAGAGGATGGCATTGGTGTGGCCAGTTATGAGCATTGGGAAAATACACTTTTAATAGTAAAAGTGGACCACAAAGATGCAACTGAAACCCTGAAAGTAAGATCTGTAAGGAAAAAGCTTTCAAAGCAAAATCTAATGCGTCTGTGTCAATCATGAGCAGAACACTCAGGTACACGGTAGAGTCTGCTGGAGGTCAGTTTAAAGGAAAATCACAGCAGTTTAAGGAGATTATTGGAGGGAAATGACACATAGGTGACCGCTTATGTGACTCTCTGAGGAGCGACCTCAATGAGGGGACATGTGATAAAGACTTTATAAATACTGCAATTTGGAGGTTCGCCGCTAATCACAGTTATTTTTAGCTAAAACTCTCCTTTGAGGATTAGTTCGATCCTCCAACAGTCTTTTTCTACTGGTTCTCCACTTTAAATCACAGCGTCCTCTGGAGTGCAGCTGAATCAGCATGGCAAGAGCTTTTGCTGCAGCAGCTAACTTTATCCCGTGAAGTCACATCATCTGTGCTGCATGGTTTCAGCAAACTGCATTGCTGGAGGGAAATAGGGAGGTGCAGAAAGGCGGGGGGAGGGAGGAGAAATGACCAAAGAAGCAATTCTTGCTTGTCACACGCTTTATAAGAGCCACTAATCTTAACAGAAGATCATTTCCTTTGTTATCCAACTATTATGTTGTCATCCCTCCTGCACTGTCTGTTCTGCTCTCCATTGACTTAGTCTCACAGGATAAATTCATCCCATCTCCAGCTTCCCTTCACTCTGATGTGACACAGCGTGGCGGCAAGAAAAAAAGAAGAAAGCGGTGCTGTGAGGTTTAACAGTGTTGCACAATCCTCCTCTTCCTTTACTCCTGCGTAATCATCACAATGACCCACTTATCCTCATCTCTGCATCTTGCTTTTGCATCTTTCATACTCCCAATACTGATTATTTGCTGGCCATATGATTTGATTACGATTCCCCAGTTAATGATTGGACGCAGCTAAAGGATTCTTTTTCATTGATTACCACAAACCTTGGAAGGCAGCATGGGCAGTCGGAATGTTGTTTTTATTCGTAAATCAGAGTCATACATTGATGATATGAAAAGAATTGGCATATTTTAAGTACCAGTGACTCACTTGAGCACTGTTTTTATGTCACATGTCCTAATCACCTGCAAAGTGTCTACCCCAAACTCTCTATTTCATAATAATTATGAAATGAAGGGGTCAACCTTTCAAATTAGTAAACTAATTCAGGAGGCATCAGCTGCAATCCCACGAAACTGGTAGTTCATGTTCATTTAAGAAATTGATGATTGGGAAATAGTTAGCCAAGTGAAGTGACGTTACGACTCTTTGTTCACGCGGAGTGTTTGAATAGAGTCTGAATAGAGTTTGCGTTGAGTCAGTGGGTCGGGCTGCTTGCATTAGCTTTGATTCGCCTAAACACAGATGAACCAGACTGAAAACGCTGCCGGCTGCTGAGCTGTCGATGAAAACAAGTCTGACACACATGCGCTCTCCGCTGTCTCCACACACAGCGAACATGCAGTCAGACAGTCCTGCGCTCTCTGTCTTCCTCTCAGCCTCTGCTTTGCTTGCTGGCTCTAATGCAGTCTTCACAAATGTTGCTCTCATTACAAAAAACACTGCTGCTTGTTATTTCCTCTGCACACACTGTTCTCCTAACACGAAGAGCCCACCAAGTCTTTCTTCCTTAGATCTCTTTTCTATATGCAAAGGCAAACAATTGAGACATCATCTGCAACGAATGCTGCCTCTATGCCCAATGAACAAATAGCCACGAACAAATCTTCCCATCCCAATTCTTTGTTATTTATGCATAAATGTGTGTTTGCCTCTCCTTCTCTGTTGTTTTGTGCTTTCAACTGATCAACATCAACTTCTGAAGATTTGTAAAATGACTTCCTTGAGTGAAGCGGGTCTGACCTCCTCCATTTTAAACTCTTGCTTTCCAGTTTTTTTTTCTGCTTGATAAACGCGTCTCTCCATTCTGGCCTTGCATGCAGTTGATTTGAAACAGTTGGGTATTTGCCTACATAGAGACAAAGCGCGCGTCTCTCTGAAAAGACTGATGGCGGGTGTGTTTATGTGTCAGCTTTGCTGGCGATTGCGTGCAGTTATGCCTCACACACAAGCCATGTCTGTAGTCAACACCAATCACAGTGATGGAGGGTGACGGAGTGCCTGCTGACATGTGCAATGGTCAGGGACGCACACGGACCGTTAAAGAGAGTGATTACCCCAACAGACAGACAGACAGACAGACTGTCCTTGTCCTTTGCCCTAAAACCCCTGAAGAAGTAAGTAAGTCAGTAAGTTAAGTTCCTGAGCCTGACTGACTTCCACCATACTCCATTGCTCATTCTAATTAACTTATTCATCTTGATTATTAGCTTAAATGTGAAGACTAAAGTCTGAGAGCAAGATGTGGACGCAGCTCCCTTTACACATCTCATCTCCTGTTTTTGGCATACTTGTCAGAAGGCCATGAATCAGTGCTCTGCTCACATTTCAAATTTGCAGGTTGTTTCTTTCAGGTGTCAGCAGCTGTGTTTGACGGTTTGTTTCCGGGATACGGGTTTGGATCTGTAAAGGGTTTCACCTCACCCAAGGGCATGAAACTTGCATAAGTTAGCTGTTGACTTTCATGGTGGTATGTTAAGAATATAGATGGTGTCGACTTTTCCCAGCAAGCCACACAAAAAATTTGGAGATGACGTCATAAACAGGGTCACTTAAAACAAGCTCAGGGTTTTTTGTATAAGATCCGACACATTAGATTAGAATTCAAAACTAATTGGAAACCAGAACACAAATAGAAGATCTGGGTTCCGTAGGTTACATTAAAAACCAGTTACATATTCCTGACAAGAAATCTTTTAATTCATGTAAATTACCTCCCTGTCTTAGTAATATCACCTTTAACACAACTACCCCTTTTTTTCCTCACTCTTTCTTCCCATCATCCCTTTAGCTCTTCTTTTCTCAGTTCACAAGCTAATCTCGCTTCTAAAAGTCTGCATTTGCATATAACCTCAGCTCTGTCGTTCCTTTAAGCACACACTCATGTGCTGACAAATGACGGGCTTTGATATGCTCGAGTCATTCTCTTCTTTTTCTGGCTCTCGTTTAATTTACCTTCCATAGGGGCAGATTTCAGTGAGACCCCTGTGCCCAAGCTGACAGAAGAGGATGCATAAGGGGAAGCTCGCGTGCAGAAAACACTAAAATATTTGAAATGCTAGTAGTGTAAAGGCTTTCTGACAATTTAGGAATAATGATGAAGTTAGGCCAGTCTGGTGTGTACATGTCTAGGCATGATCGGGAGATGCTAATAGGATAATCAAGCAAATGCTGGTTTTTACAGTTCAACACCATCAGCCCTCCATAGTTCCGTCAAACAGAGCACACGATGTACAATTTTAGTCCTCGAATGCTCATTTTGCATTGTTATTTGGTATAATTTAGAATCAATTCCAGTCTGTGCACATCAACACTCCCACGCCAAGCTACACAGTGACTGAGCTTTAATGCTGAAAGCTAAAATCATCATTCCTTTTTCCTCGTCTGAATGCCACGCTGTGCTCCTGGCTAAACTAAATCCTAAACACACGAACATGCACGGCCAAAAACAAGTCACTTTTCTTGTTTTAAAGAACAGGGAAAAGATAAATCAGAAATTTTTATTCAGTGAATAAAGGTCAGGAGGCACCAGTCAGAGGCTGGAAAAGAGTCCAAGATTAGGAGTTGAAGAGTATCAAATTAGAGCATGTTTTTTTTTTAAAAAGTGTGTGTTTTTATAGTCTGTGTGTGTGTTTCATAGTGGTAGGAGGACTAGATGATACAATAACAAAGGGCTTATTAATATGTAAATTGACTCTTTACCTAAATGTTGTTCTGGTTGGTGGAGGTTACTGAGCAATGATAGAACCACGAGGAAAGAAAAAGTAACTGATACTGGAAGCTGGTAGGGCAGGTTTGAATGTTTTGGGTGTTGTCAACATCTCAAAAGTTTTCTTTTGACAGCTTTGACATACCTTCTTGATGGAACCTTCCTGAATACTTGCAATGTGCCAGATAGTAGCTGTAATAACAACCTTTTGGGAGATTCTCATTTTGCTTTGGATAATCTAAAACTGCCATGAGGAACATCCAGCGTTAAAAATGATGTCTACGTTTGGTTTATGTTGAGAGCTGAAATTTATTTTTAAACATTAGTCCAGATTTTTTATAAACATTATCACCTACACAAGATGGTCTTTATTTAGTTATCATGCTTCCAAAAAGGGAACATTTGGAAAATACTGTATGTCATGTGTAAGCTCCCTCTGTGCAAGCTTTGTGGTGAAGGAAAATGAACATCGAAACATAGGACCTTTAAAGTGTTTTTATTACAGAACACAGCCTTTAACCACTACGCCACTAAATAGTCCAACCCAGCCAATGACATTTCCATATGATGCCTATCCCTGGCAGGCACATGCACAGGATGACCAGGCTTAGAAACGGTGGTGGATTAACCCCTTTTTTCAATAAAAAAAAGTAGTTTATCTTTCCATCTTAATTTCCTTTCCTTCCATCATCGTGTTTGTCCTTGACCTGTCCTCATTTTCTCACTAACAAGGAGTTTCTTTGTGTTCCAGGAGGAAGAGATGCCGGAGGTAGAAATAGACATTGATGACTTGCTGGAGGTCAACAGTGATGATGAGAGAGCCAGCAAGCTCCAGGTATATTCACGTGTGTGTCTGGATTTGTTCCTCAGCACACTGGGTTTCATGTCAGGAATACTTAATGCTGCAGTAAAATATTGTTAACCTCCAGAGAAAATTAGCACACAAAAGCAAAAAGAACAAATGCATTTGAATATGATTTTAAACATAAGTCACATGTGAAAGGCAACCCCTGAAAAAGCAAACTAGTTTAAACATATGCCGTTACAAATCCAGGAGCCGTGACATGTCTAATTCCTGCACCATTGTCTGTGTTTTTCTGTCTTCATGCAGGAATCTTTAATAGACTGCTACAAACCAACAGAGGTGAGTGTGTTTTACTACGGCTGTTGCAGTCTTAGAGCTAATTAGCAGATGGATGTTATTGATGTTCCACATACGGTATTCGATTTGCTGCAAATGGCAAATACCCTGTATTCATTGTGTCATTCCACTGTCAAACCTGGCTTGAATCCAACAAAGGCTAAAATTAAATTAGAAGATATTGACAACACACATACACACACACAAACGCATGCTCTTGGAAATCGTCAATGAAGCACCAAATCACACATACTGACGAACTGTTTCTTTTTAAAGACACAAATGTATTCATGGAGGAGTGTGAATGAGTGTGTGTCCATAAAGGAGGTGGGATCCTGGGTTTGGATGAGGTGGGGTTCAGCTATTTTTTAGATGAATCAGTCACATTACATCTTCACATGCCGGTCTTTCCCTACTTCAACCCCCCCATCTGTCAACTATGAATGTCTATGTGTGTGTTTGTGTGGCCCAAGACAATCCCTGCAAGTACACAGGTATTTGAAAGGGTACAGCAGGTTGGAAACAGCCAATGTGACACCCACCCATAAACACATGCTGTGATCCTATCAGTATGCAGTTGCACAGCTGCCGTTTTCAACATGGCCCCACCAAGACAGTGTCAGCTGAGGATAAACGGTGAAAGATGGAGGCCATGGAGAGATTAGGTGAATGTGGCAAAGGAAGAAAATAAATGAGAGAGGATGAGAGAGCTCTCCTTGAAAAAAAACTGACACAAAGATATTGACAGGAGATTAAAGGAATTAAGTAAAAGGACAAGCTATTAATGAAGGCGGCTCCCTGGGGCATGTTAAAAATATGCCTGGTTTGTTAAAGAGTCATTTCTATGCTTGTAGTAGCTTATATTCCAAAGCTAGATTTTCCCACGTAATGAGAACATGAAAAACAAGTTTTCCAGTCTAAACGGTACCTACACCCAGCAATTAGACATTGCCACATAGGCACAAATCCTATTGTAGGATTGAAGGTAGCACTGTCTACCGTCAATCAACCATAAAAAAACGTTATCTTAGCTCCACCTACTTTACTCACTCAACATGGACCGTCAACACAGAGCAAAACAGAGAAAAACATTCATGAATGTTTTCCATTTTAAATATGTCAGTTATTAGGCATTGATCTATACTTTGACTGCAAAGTTAAATCAATTGAGCTTGGACGGAGACATCCTCTGTTAGTACTCGCTGTGCTAAGTTAACATTAATGGCTGTTGGTGATACATATTGCAACTTCTCACCTAATCATCAAAAGAAGGCATTTTTTTACTGAAACTATTGTTTAGAATCAATTTTGCCAATTCAGAATCTCCCCTATGGTGACCTAAGAGTAAAGTCTAATACTATAATTATATAATGCATAATATACCATCCTATTAACCATCTAAGCTTAAAAAAGACTGACCTACTCAGATCAGATCAGTAATTGTATCAGTTTATTATGTCCCCACTTATGGGACTCATTCAATAACCTTTGAGGGCTGGAAAGTCCCTTGAATATGTTTATCTGTGTATATATGTGTACATATGCAAATGCTGTAACTTTCCTTCTCTTCTTCCCGCAGGACTTTGTCCGGGAGTTGCTGGGCAGAATAAGGGGAATGAGAAAACTCAGTGCTCCAACCAAGAAGGGCCTATAATGGCTTTACTGTCTACCATCAATCAACCATAAAAAAACGTCATCTTAGCTCCACCTACTTTACTCACTCATGGACCGTCATCACGCAGAATAATTAATCAAAGCATCAGTAAATACACCTGCAAACATGAATTAGCACTAACCATTCATCACACATTCATGCAGAATAACAAGATGTAGAAATTATTTGACTGTTGAGAGGTAGTTACATAAAACACAGCCAATATGTGGAAATAGCCAGGAGAAAATGTTACCTGGAATGTGCCAGGTCAGCAGCTATGCTTTATCATGAACATTACCACCTATATCCATATTTTCAATCTTTTGAAAACAAACTCTGAAAGAAAACAGCCATACAGACTAGGACACAGATAAAACTTGGAGGAGGTGATAAAGTTGCCACAAGTGTGAATATAGCTGTAGCACTACGTAAACACAGTGCTTCATTATGGTTTCTATTTTATTTGACTGAGGTCTTCTGCTGTTTAGTCTTTTAAAAGATGTAATGTATGTTGACATTTATTGTTCATGTGAATCTACCGTGGTTTTCAGTTCATTCTTTTTTGTCAACAATTTATCCTCACTGCATCTATGCTTGGAAATGTGAGGGAGCTCTGTAGTGTTATCTCGAGTTCATTTAAAAGCACACAACATAGATACATCAATTCTTTCTGTTAGTGACGTGTCAGCCCGGATAAGAGTGATGGGCATTTTTGCAAACCAGGCGAAACATATTGTCAAGATATTTTATTGTGACCCATTGTCCTGGTATATTTTTCACCTCAGCAAGGCATGATGGGTGTTGCAGTTCTCTACATGAGAGTGCAAAAACCTGTATGATTGGTAGCCTTTCACTGCTCATGTGTGGTGTTTTCATGTTCCTTCATCTGAGGACATATCCGTTGGCTATTTAGGTTTCAGCTTAAAGCCCAAACATTGAAGTTATTTCTCAACAGGTTGACTTAACTGCCACTGGGTCTCTCTGATAGTGGTTGAAGTTGCCTTTAAGGACATTCAGGATCAGTTCACTTTTCCTCAGCACTAAACCTGAACTACTGACAGCCTATGGGCAAATATGGTTTAGCCATACACTGAGAGGGACTTGATACTTTAACTCTTAACTTGTCGAGTCTTGTATCTGAAGGTGTGCCAAATCTGGGAGTATTTCATCTTAAATGTCTCATGAGATGAGGAATACGTTGGAGATGGCGCTCCAAAAGGGACTGTTAAATTTGTGAAATATCTTGGTGGGAGGGTGGAGAATCTTTAAGACGTTTAAAACCTTTTCGGGTTGCAGAGAATATGTTGTAAGTGCATAATCCCACGTTTAATAGAGTGGGTTCGGTCATTTATTGTTATTCATAACAACACACTGACAAACCTGTAAGCTCTGGTACAATCACGCCTCGGTTATGGGGCTGGGCCCAGTTTAATTTCCGAGCAGACACTCGTGAACCAACCGCAGCGGGGGATATCTCAACCTGCATTGTGACATGCTCTCTGCTGCCAAAGTCAAAAGCAGGGCAACATTTGATTTGAACATACCACCTGTCTTGCATGCTAATAACAAAGAAAAAAAGAAAAAAACACTGATAAAAAGATATTCTAACCTTATAATCAAGCAAAAAATAGTTTTCTTTTCACTTAGGTATGATGTATGACTTTGTAGAACTTTTTCATTTATAACAACGTGAGCGTCACGTTGGAGAGAATCCAGGAAAAAATTAAAATGGTGCTGTTTTTGATGTTCTTCCCAGAGTTTTTGTCGTTTAAAATGCATTTTTAATGTCGAGTGATGATAGAAAAACGTGCGTGTAAGAGACGTCTTAAATGGCATCCTCTTCATATGTCCTTCTCTCAGTCAGACCTGAACAGATCTGGTTCTGTGTCATCTCAAAGAGCAAGTAGTTAAATGTGCAGCTATGCATTTGTTGTGTTTTTTTCTCCATCATTTGTTTGTCAGCTCTGAACTGGAAGGAAAAGTTGAAGAGGAAGCCATTGTTGGAAAGCGATTGCATTCAGGATTCATGTATGGTACTATGTGAGATTTCCTACCAAGAAAGAGTTCAGGGGCAAGAGGCTGATATTTTTTATTAATGGGATTTCATATGGAGAGTGAAAGTGACCATATTAGAAAGCTTTACGTTTGCATGAATTTTTAAAGTAGCATGTTGAGGGGATCACTTGGCCTGAAGATTTTTATTTCACAAGATAAACACTTTCCTTTTTTATACCTTTATTATTATTACTATAATCATTATTATTATTATTGGTCTATTGAGTTTTTCAGCTCAACTTTTGTTTCCGTACATCCACAATGAGCATTCTTGTTTCTGAAATGTAATGTGGTGTGTGGTTTGTTTTGCTGATAATAAAATGGAGAATGACTCTGTACTGTTCAGAAAGCAGTTCTCTCTGTCTTTTTTCTTATAATGGTTTTATGTCTAGTCTTTTTTTCAAAAACTTAAAATGACAGAATTTCTGACGCAATCATATTGTATGGTCTCAAAAACATTTGTCAAAGATCAGAACTGCATTAGTTTTCAGCCAATATCTAACGGAGCCAAAAAGTATAAATGTCACAGAGCTATACAAGGAAAGAGGAACTTTATGTTTATGTGAAAAATGTATCAGAATGAACAATGTATACAGGCATATATCTGCCAATATTGCATTGGATACATGTGAGACTTGGGTGGTCTTTCACATGACTGTCTCTGGACAGGGAGCATATTAGCACCAGTGTGTTTCCACTCCGAGTAGAATAGTGTGGCAGTAGTTTAGTAGGACACCCATGTACGCTGTCTGGTTCTGTAAAGGGCTCATCAGAGGAGACATTATTGCTCAGTTTGCGCATGAGTTGCTCTCTGTGCTACATGTCTAGTCCCGTATGGACCAGCCTACTACACCCTGTTGCTAGGTAGAAAATGTCCTTTGATCCCTGAGGTGAATTTAAGACTGTTTCTCAGAACACAAAAAGAACAAACAAATCCCTAAAAATTCATATTGAATTATCTGGGATGTGTAAGTAGATGGACTCTTCAGCACTTCTATGCAATCTCACCTTAAGGGAAATCAACATGGAAGGAAAATGGCTCCGTTTGCAAGGCAGACAGACAGAGACAGATTTCATTCAACTGTGACAGATTTTATTCTAGAAGATGAATTTAATAATGACAATCTTCTGCTTCATTGACACACATTCCCAAAAACAACCACATGGATTTCTCAGCAAGACACAAGATTACAGACACACACACACACACGGAGACAGAGGCGCAGACTGTGCTGAGTGTTGGAGATAACGTCAGGATAAAACAGCATGCATTGAAACAGGGCTGCGTGTGCCTTTAAATTCCCTGACCCACTTTTCACAGCTGGGGCTGGCTGGCAGGGAGCATGCTGCCTTGAATAATTGGGACTGCAAGGTGAATGTGAGGAGAATAGTTGAAGACAGGAACCCCCCCCACACACCGCACTTGCCTGTGTGCTTTCAATCAACTGACAGAAAAAAGAAAGGTTCACACCAGTGCAGTCCACAGGTTTTTGGTGTTCATTGATTGGATAAATGGGATGTAAAAAGGAGGACGGCTAAATGATGCAAGAAATTTAATTGTTCAGATTCTCAAAATCATATGCTCGGGATGTGAACGTGCCATATTGAGGGGCTACTACCTGGTTATGTTTTCAAAGCTGTACAATTTCCAAGAAAACAGAGGAATAGAATGCAACATACTGTTTCTCCCCATGTGATAATGCCCAAAGGTGCCTGCTGGAAATTTAATGTCTACCCAGCCCCCACTTCCCTCGATCAAATTTTTTTTTATCCTCTTTTTCTTCTTCCTCACGTCCCCCCTCTCCCCTGTGGATGGAGCAATCCATCATCCAAATACCTCACAGAGACAGCAACAGAGAAAGGGCAGACAGAATAGAAAAATGCAGAAACGCCTTATGACTACAGTGGTAAAAAGAGAGATGAGAGACAGGCTGATACCAGCGGCATCTCCACATGCTTTTCATTCAGCTGGACAATAAATCTCATCTCTACTGCTTTGGAACACAACTGCAGCATCACACAGACAGGGGGGTGTCACACTGTTGGACCCTGCTCATTCATTCACATTACAGGCAATACAGCTGTACTGCATCACTGGTTAGATGGAGAGTAAGAAACGGCAGCAGATACTTTCCTATTAACTCCATGACAGGTCCACAGCAGACTTGTTGTAAGCTTTATATAGACTCTCTCTCAGCAATAAAAATAATGAACAGATTTTATGTCACAGTTTTAGTTCAAAGTATAAGAAAATCAGTTAGCTGCAAACTGATTCTTAGTATTGGGAAGTTGTTTAATATTTTATACATGTACAGCACGAAACAGAGCCAGACCTCTGGAAACAACCAGCTTTTTTATTTCACTTTATAAATACTACATGCACGTGTTCCACTTACATTACTTCTTGTGTGTTTGATGTGAGTGCGTGTGTATGTCAAAATCTGCTCTGCCTTGTATCTCCTGGGAAATTCTATTAACTTCACTACACTGAGTCCATTATATTTTTTACTCCACATATAAGTGTTACAACTTTTGTTTTTTACGCAGAGAAAGATGTGATGAGTGTGCAAGATCACACTCACTTAGACTACTACTACTACTACTACTTACTATGGCAACAGCTGCTGTTACCAGCCAGGACTAGAGGTGAACACTGGGAGCAATGTTTACTGTAAAGGGTAGAAATAGATTTTGAGCACCTGAAACTTTTTACTAGATTACAAGTTCAAGGAGCTATACTTTTAGTAAGAAAGGAAAATGCTGTATTTAAGTGCAAATCATATATGACAGTGAAGCTGACTGTTAATTTGTTTATTCTGAAGCTAGAAATAGAAAAACAATTTTTGGATTAGTTGAACACATATGGTGCTCATCTGACAAACAAAGTAAATATTTGTTTCAGAAATCCAAATCATCTTCCACCAGATTTGTGCAATGTTTACATGTGCTACAGAGAGCGCCTAGATGTTTTTAATGTACCGTGATGTTTTGTAGGTCAGCTTATAATGATCTATAAGTCAGATGGTAAACATTGCTGTTACAAACACTGCAAGGACAATACTATGACCACCACCGAAGGGATCAACTCAGGGATTTGGAATTAATAGCACTATTTACGCTGATCGCAAATCTGCTGGGCTGTCTGTGCATGAATGACTTGTTTTTCAGATTTGCTTTCCTTGTTTTGATTGGTCATTTCTGTGCAAATCCAGAGGAACGGGATTGGTCTCATACTTACAGACTGCAGCTTAGTGTCTGTTAAAGCAGTGTGGGTCCATGCAGACAACATGGGGGCAATCTCGAAGGGGGATTTCTTTACTGTTGATGTATGTGGGATAGGGGAAGATGAAACAAAAGAAAGAGTTAGGATTGCAAACAAAAAGACAAGAAAGATTTATATATAATATCTAAAATGATATGACAGCAAAAGCAAGTTAAAGCAGCTTGAATCATCTGCTCTCATTTGTTTGGTAAATGTAATCAGGAAAGGAAGAAACAGTCTTAATTGTCAGATTAATGGCACAAACTGGCTGTTGCTATGGAGACTGACATGACTGTGTAAAGGTTATATAGGGACATGGAAGGAAACACAGGCAAACAAAGCAGCTGACAACAAGAAAAACCATATGCGGAGGGCTAAAGGTAAAACAACACTGCTTTCTGGGTGTGATGGGCTCAATGCACCGACTCAAATCTGTATCAAAATCCTTTTTTTTTTTAAAGGTCACAATGCAACCATTCTGTGCAACCGTTCCTCCTTTACTTGTTCTGACAGGTATTTTTGAACATTGTATTTTTGAACATCCATTTTTGAACAAGCTTTAATCTGCCTCAGCAAGCCTGTAGAGCTCTACTGACAGGATGCAGCTCCATTATTCTGAAGAGAAATCCTTAATGTGGCCATTTTATGAAAGGTAGAGTACTGTAGTATGTCACCACAGAACCTCACAGAGGTTTTCATTCTAGATCCGGTAACTGGATGTGATCCACATCCGTTTTTATACTCGCTGGGTGTAGGCACTCATCCTGAAAGAGACAACTTTAATCAGAATATGCCTCATCGCACTGTGGGATGAAAAACAAGATTTTGTCCCAGGATTGTTGAGCCATCTTGTTACACCAGTCTGCTTAATCCTGAAACAGATCCACCCTCAGCCTTGATATTACTGGATCCACTCAGTCAGTCATGAGCAAGCACACACATACAAATGAGAGCAAAAATTAATCCAAATGAACCAATGAGAAGAAAGAGGCTACTGGCTCTGAAAAATCAATCAGTTTCTCGATCTGCTTTTCCCACCGCAGACTACCCTCCACCTCCTAGCTGCGTGCATTCTCTCAGATAACATCTGATGTCTACCCCTTCCCAACCTCAAATCCAAGTCACGCAAACATACACCAGTCTTTAGTGTTGTTTAGTCTTTAGGGAAGCAGGTATGCATAATATAATATATAGGACGTTTATTATAAAGATGAGAAATCATTGACATTTTTTTTCTTTGTGGGGAGATTCCAAAGATCTTTATCTTTAAGAGGAGCTTTCATCATGACGCACAGTCAGATGTTCATAACCCTGAAATTCATCCCTGGGTGAACCACCACCCACTGGCTCAATCGTGCACTGTATGAATAACCATCTCAGGTGGGTTGAGTATGTTGGGTTAAATATTTGAAAGAAAATGACAAGATGACTGAGGCTTTGCAAACATAATTTTCTTCCTGCATTTCTCTCTTCCTCAAACAACATGTTTTTTTCTGGTTGTGAGTAAACAAACACATACCTGCAGGACAATTCCCCTCCTTCCCCCTCCAACATCAGAAGAATTGCCAAACAGCTGGTTGCCATGGTTGCAGCTTTCTGTGCACCAATCACTGGTGATTTTACTGGGGGTCTAGATATGGGGCTAAGCCAGCACAGTCTGCTAAATGGCAACGATGTGAGCAGGGATTAGCACACATTCAGCCAGGAATACTAAGGCCCTAAACAAATATCTTTGGGTTAGCTGATCAGATTTGTTGTTTATACTGTTGAGGCAAGGGTGAGGTCATATTTCTATTTACACCCTTTAAAAACAAATAGGATAATAAAAGGCATCCATGTTCTCATATCAGCAAAATGAAGATCATTTCAATAATTCAATGATCTTACTGACAATTCCTATCAGTGAAACTAGAGGAGAAAGACACTGGACATCCTCAAACCTTTAGGGACATTTTTGTGTTTGGAGCTCTGCTTTATGTACCATAAAAAGTGGGAAAATATATACCATTTTTAAAATCACATACCTACAATAGAGGCGGCTCATAAAGTGGTATTTTCAAAAACATTTTAAGAAGCCACAACAGTCACTGAAAAATAGCTTTAAGAAACACTTGAGTAGGAAATCAAAAAGAGCTATGGAGACTAGATCTTGATTCTTGAGGGGTGATTTATTTTTGTTCCGCAAGTGGAGGGCTCCCTCTGCTGTTGGTATAATGTACTTATCACACAGAATATGCGGCCTGTTCTATCGGTTCATCTATTTAGGACACCTCAACTAAAATTTTACCCTAGTTGCACTCTCCGACTGTGACTTCACATGAAATATGTCGACATCCTTGTGAGCGTGTGTGTGTGTTACCTTCCAGAAAAGTTAATTTAATTCTGGGTTTAATGTGAACCCATCCAAATGTAGCCAAGACACCAGTAAACTAACCAACATGTGCTGCCATCCGGATTCTGCATTTGACAGTAAAGTTGTGGAAAATCTAAACTAAACCAATATCGAAAACTCTGGACACAACAGGTCCAGAAATTACATCCACTGAAAACATTTTACACATTTTGAAATTACAAACTCACTGTGAGAGGACAATGCTTACCACCACAACAACATGAAACCCACTGTTATTGTTTTCATCATCATTATCATCATTTTACCATATACATAATCTATAATTTGTTTCCAAATCTTAGTTCTTCCTGCAACGTACTTGGGTTTTTAGCTGTCAAAGGCCTCTTCAAGAACGGTCACCACTTTGGTCTTTTTGCCCCTAGATGTCAGCATTTGAACTATTTTCCTCAAAGTTCCTCAAAAAACGGTTACTTTGTCCCATCTAAAGCTGAGTGTGCATAACCCTGGACATCCTCAGTGAGACTCAGGCGACGTTAGATCTCGTTTTTTCCCTATAAACAGTAAGTCACTCATCAACCCAAAACCTGAGTGAGGCGGAAGAGGCGCAGCGACCATCCAATCCGGTGTATTATCAAAAGTTTCTGTTCTACGGAAAATTGGATTATTTTCACTCGTCATACATTAAAAGTTTGATCCTTGTTGCTGATTTGAAAGTGGCGTGTATTTTCCACTACCTGCGCGTGGGAGGGGCCCGGGTCCCGGTCGGTGCGGGGATCATTCCGGCAGGTCGCTTGGGTTCTTGCGGCTGATCCCTCTCAGCTGACGTCAGGAGAAATGGCGGACCTGGATGGCAGCGACACATCTCCTCCGGAGTCCCAAGGTGAGCCCACGGGAAACTTGACGTTGACAGCCTTTTGAAACTGGAAGAACTCTTATCTGAAGTGTCCCAGACTTGTCGGCGGGGAGTCTGTGGAGGGGGTTCGCCTCAATTTTCTGAAGCATTGACTCTGAATTACAGAGAGTTGAGCACTCGGAGCCGGTTGGTCACGGGAGTAGGATTAACTATCAACTAACTCACCCAACCGGTTGATTTACGTTTGCTAAACACGAGCTGTCCTTTAAACCACGCAGGTGTTTTAGTCGTACCTTTTTTTGTGAGGTGGCTGGGGAGCGTTGTGAGCTGCTCCTTCTCCGGCAGACACCTGTTGCTGACATTTTCTCTTTCGGTCTGAGTGACTGCTTGACGTGACAGGTGAATACATGGAAATGAAGAGGCCGGTCTCGTGTGATGGCACGAGCTGGATTTGCCACATGCCTTGAGGATAGATTTGACATTTTCAAGAATAATACGGTAATTCAGTTGTTTTCACCGGCTTTTCAAGAGGGAACGTGTTTTTCATAAGCCAATTTTTGACGTCTTCGTTTTCCCCCCCCCCCCCCACCACCACGTTTGGTTTGAAAGTGGCCTCTTTTTTTAAGTTGTTCGGTCTTAAGACAATGGTAGAAACCTTTAATTGAACCTTACTCTGACTCATAGGTAACAAAATAGTACTATGGAATTATTTAAATAATGTTTTTAAAAAAAGTCTTTGCTGTAGCCACGCCTCAAATTGGTAAAGAAACAACAGCTGTTATTTAGCAGCTCTTAAGTAGTGACCTACATGCTGTGACGTCATGAAATCTTAAATAAGGCTGATTCAATTTAATTTCATGAAACTTTATGGGAGAGACTATTTAACTCACATATTCTATTGTTTAAGAAAGCAAATTTGTCTGAATTAGCTTGAAAAATTAGCTTGAAAAAATGATAATTACAACGTTAATTGCCCAGAGAATAAAAAAAAATGGCTCAACCTTTGAGAGCACACGTTAGCTAAAAATCTGTCTGAGGCATAAGACAGTTCAGACCATTTCAAGCATGCATCAGCAATCTCTTTAGAGTATCAGGAATCTCTGTGCTTTGTAGCAGCAACATTGATAAAGCAGTAATCTCCTTACATAAATGTGTTAAGTCACTTTGTAGTTGGATCACAATGTGTTGCTTTCTCATCATTGCATCAGTGAGCGGGAGCCAGCCATGCATGTTCTGACCGCTCAGTATTTAGTGTATTTGGCTGCTCTTGTGACTCAGCACCGGCGGTTTACCCCTCTGATCCCGCCGTCCGCATCATATGGTCAGTGGGATTTTCTCATGTGAAAGTGTGCCTGTAACAACACTTATCAGCACTGCTGCTCAGCTTCAGCTGGACATCGCTGGAGAGTTTGTAGAATAACTGTCTTTTAATATGATTATGTGTGAATACCTAATACCAACCCTAGAAATGGTTTGGTCTTGTGAATGCAATTACACAAGAAATTTCAAGGGACACTTGTGTTTTGGCATTTGTGAATATCCATAAATGTTTTAAAGCTTAGTTTCTTAAGTAACCATTAACAAAAAACATCCCATACTTATTAAAAATTGTAATCCCTGCTGGTGGCTGTGTCTGATACTCAATGGCACGTATACTCTAAAGGTGTGAGAAGGGCGTGTAGCCCAATTTATGAGGTCAAAGTCTAGGTGTAAGGTTACTTCAAGCCCCTGTCCTGCAGGAAGAAAGATCCGATTGCTTGTACATGAATGTGCAGATTTGTGTAGCATGTGCTCTCCAGTTATGCCCTGGAATCCTTTGTATTTCTCAAATAAATTGTGAATTTTATTTGATCAATACCCAATATGCTGAACTACTTTAAATAAGATTAAGTAAAGTAAGAAGTGGTCTGAGTTTTTTCTTTAAAGGTGATTCCTTTTCTTATGTTACACACATGCCGCAGTCTTGATTTGTTATTCTGTTTGTTTAGTCTCTGTACTTTTTAAGGATAGGAGATAGCAAAGTATGAAGACGAACCTCTAATAAGGCTTGTTTAGGCTTCTTTCTACTCTATTAATTGATATACTTCTGCTACAGTAATGTGGCCTTCAGTCCTTTGTCAGCCTCAGTCCCATAGCAATCCCAACACCAGGTTGAAATGCTTTGAGTGTTTTTGGTATATGTTTCAGTATTGATATAAACAGGGAAGTTTCCCTTTCAGGGCAGGAAGTAAATCGTAAAACTATGGCTAGGATCTCTTGCTATGGCATCTGATTTTACTTCTATTCACTCCCAGCGTGCAAGCTCTGAATTAAAAGACTAGCAGTTTCATCAGGCGACCACAATATATCAAATGGCTAGTGGCTCTTTAAGTGGCAGATGTGGGCGGCACTACATACCATGTGCTCTCTGAACACTCCCCTTCCATAGGAACTGGCTCTTACTGCACTGTTTGATTTAATGTGTTTGTAGATGTGAATCGATGCCAGTTTGTCCATCTGTGTTCATTACATTAAAGTGTGCCCATCCTTGGCTCTCACACCCCCAATAACCCACTGTGTCATTGGTCAGTGTGCTGCTGTTGTCAGGGAAACCCTCTAGTGGCATCGGCTTACCTTCCACTGTTGGATTCGCTCTGAATATTTTAAAAGCTCTGCCAGTCTCTTTTTTGCTGTACTTGAATGTGTGTGTGTATGTGTATGCCTGTATACTGTAAACTGTAATGCCACTGTATGCAGGATGTGATTCTTTTGACAAATCTGAATTTGCAGAATAGATGTTGTGAGGGAGAACTGGGGAGGGATTGCAGTAGCCACAGCAGAGGCAGCATCTCTTGAGGAGTGCAGGAATCAAAGAAGTGCAGGACTTACAGATCTCGTCCGAGTCACTCTTGTGGATTAAGTCTTCTTTTCTGAGCCACACCACTCGAGCTCATCCTCACACTCTGTGTGCCTGCAACTGCCATCAGGAGCAGTATGGATATGGGAAAGTGAGCTGCTCTTTTTGTCTCCTTCATCCCTCTTCTTCAGCACTGCATTTAATTTTTTTCTTTAAACTCATCTCTGCAATTTTTCAGCTTTTTTCATGACTTGATTTTATTCCTATCGTATGTTGCCAGATAGATAGCTGTTAGCATTTAGCTCTTAGCTATGTACATGTTCCAGGAGGAGAGAGCTTTTTTCAGGGGGTGACCTCCTCCATCTACCTGACCTCCATCATCCTCTATCTCCCAAGACTGACCGGCACCATCCCTTACTGCTACGTCAGGGTGGGATGGACAGGGGTTGGGTGAGTTAGCCAGGGGCTCATGTGTTAGCAACAGGACAGGAAATGCCAGATAGGAAAGGACGAAGAGGAGGAAGTAATGGAAGCAGCTCGTCTCAAAACAAGTGGAAGCCAAGGAAGGGAGGCAGTAGTTCGACAATCCCAGCTCTTTTCACCATCACTGAGGAAGAGGAGGGGCAGAGACGGAAAAATGCTCTCAAGAGGAAGAAAAGAGGTACGAAGGGGAAGGACACAGAGAAGATGTCAGGGATGTTAAGTCACTTTGCATGTTTGGCTAAGTTGTGGGTATTTTTTATCTTTTCGAACAGTCAAAGTGTGCATGCATGCTTATTAGTAAGAGAGGGCTTTATCTGGAGCAGAGTTTTCAGTGGAACTAAAATGTTTAACCGGTCCTTGGAGTCAAAGCAACAGAAAATCTTAAAACAGAAAAGAAATGTGGATCACTGACATTTTTAAATGTAATGTATGAATGTGGAAGAACCATCAAAAAGTCACTGTGATGCTGTTCTGTTGTTAAATGTGTGTTTTATAAGTGTATGCTGTTCTCTCTTGCCTTTTTGGCCGTTAACCTGAGCCCTTCAGAGACAGCTGGCGGACTGAACTGATGATGAAGGACAGTTTTGTTTGTGTATGTGAAAATCAGCTGACAAGGCAAGATTGGGTCAAGACAAGGACAGCAGATGAGAGTAAAGGTGCAGTGTGCTTTGCGCGATTATATGGCCGAAATGCATGTAAGCAAAGCACTCAGTTTACAGGCCAGCATATGGCTGCAGATATAGTTCAGTTATTGGGATATTCTGTGATCTTCCTATTTGCTGATATTATACAGTGGATCAGAATTATTTGTTTTGTTGCAACCTGTAATTTGATGAACCTGCAATTTAATGAAAAAATATCTACAAATACTCTTCAAAATGGGTATGTGAAATAGAAAGAATCCCACCCCCCAACCATATTCAGTCTTCCGGAGATTTAATGTTCGCTTTGCAGCAGAACAATTATCTTAATTCATAGAATATTCAACAGGTTTAAGGGAAGACATATGAATATGTTGGAGTTACCAAAGTCCAGACCTCAAGCTAACCCAGAATCCAACCCGTCCTGTGGAACCCGTCCAGTTTATTGTTCCTGGAGCTATTTTGATTTAAAGAATGGGCAAAATAGTTTTCAATTGGGGGCTACGTGTTTGACACTGAGAAGACTTTGCTAAAAAAGACTCTGAATAAGTGTTCTCATTCCACAGTTGTTGCCTCACATCCTCGCGCTCTGTCTTTTTCAAAATCCTGCATTGCTCTGGGTCTTTTTATCATACAGAAATATGTTTAGAGCTTTATGCAATATGACTTAAATTGGATGTAAGAATGTTTTGCCTTTGCACTATTTCCACCACTTCATTGTGACGGTCCATATGTGTTGTACCTGCCTGCATCTGACATCCTGCTACTACATGCTTGACTATTGGTGGCTTCTTTGCACCACATATCTCTTGGGTCCTGTCTAGTGGACAGAATGACAATTATTAACGGATTATATTTTATGGGTAGCTTGCAGCCAACTTGCAGTAAAGATTGGGAGCTCTTACATTAGGAGTTATCTCAAAGTTTAACATGAAGGTTACCCTGTAAATTGAACTGTAATAATGTAGTTTTCAATCACCTGGTCACAAAGAGAATGTACTGTGCTTTAGGGATATATAAAAATAGTTTAGTAAGTACTTTGCTAGGTGATTTTTGTTTAAATGAAAACCCTAATTATCCGACATAGTTTTGCGAACACTAAGATTTCATAGGAACATCTGGTACGAGTTCACATATTTCTTCTCAGCTGTATCTATTAATGCTGGCATTCCTCTATTTTTTCTTAAACACCAGGCATTTCTCGCATCATTAAAGCTGAATCGTGCCTGCAATGTGCAATGAACACAGCTTAGTCTACAAAAACAGAGGCCACCATTCTTGCACCTTTTATCCAGGCCTGAATGCCTTTCCGTACTATAAAGCAAGGCTCCCATCCCTGCCCCCTTTGCCTCTCTGGTTGGAGGTTATAGTTTGGCTTAGCATTAGCAGCAGCTAATCCTCTCAGGCTGCAGGGGAGGAAGGAGCTGCAGAGTGTGCTTGCCTGTTACCCACTGGCCTGGACAGCAGAGCATTAATCGCCAACTCTGACCATATAATCTGACTGGCAGTGAATGCAGATAGATTGGGGGTGGGGAGGGTGTGCACACACATAGACACATAGAGCACAGGAGGAAGGAGGGGCAGATTAAACAGTCACACTCTCCCTATGTCTCACTCTCTGTTCCACACACTGTTGATAAATGCATATACACACACACATAGACAAAAGGATGGGGCTGGAGAGTCGCCACAACCTGTCTCTCACTGCCTGTCTACAGCAGTGCCATGAGCTGACTTCTTGTTTTCATTCCTTCTTTAGTTTTGTATGGATTTTTTTTTTCTGGTGTTCCTTGGGCTTCATCATGGAGTTTGAGCTTCCCAGTTATTAATAATGTTTTCAGGAAGTAGGAAAAAGGTTTGCCCTCCGATTCATCTAGTTGGAGTGGAGATATTGGCCAGTGGAGCAGGTCTTATCCTTGAACTGAAACCCCTGGAATTATGAACCACAAACCAGGTAAAAATCTGTACTCTCACCCCTGGAGGATCTGAATATAATGACTTTGTTTTTATTTGAAAATGTATTTATAGAAAATGTATAGAAAATATGGTAAAGTGCAAGGGAATGACATGGACTAAAAGTTTGACTTTAACTGCTGCACACATCCACAGTTTGCACCCAAACCACTTAAGAGGGGCCTCACCTGACCCTGCAACGTCTGCTGACAGAAGTGATTCATTCAAATATTTAGAGGGTTATGAATGATGCTGAATGACCATTACTGCATTAGCATTAATACAGCTTTATTACAATTCTTTCATTTTTTGTCGTTATATAAGGATTTGAACATCTGTTGTGGCTGAACTGTGTAACTGTCGTCTACTTGATCAAACCACTACGCATTTGTCATTATCTTATCTTTTAATGCTGCTCTTCAACTGAGCAGCATCAGCTTTACAAAGGTTTTTAATATTTCCAAGCCCACCTGGTTGCAAACCAGCATTTATAAATGGAAGGTACATTGATAGCATGTATAAAACTGATGGTGGTGTGTTTGCAAAGGCTGTTAAACTGCTGGCTAGACAAGCAAATATACCCACTGCCATTTGAGGTTTGTTGGCTTTATGACCTCAACAGCAGATGGATAAGTCTCTGACATGGAGAGAGGACACAGCTGCAACACTGGTACATCATATCTGCGCCACATGAACTGACCGCCTATCATTTTTAGGTGCTGGTCATAAAAGCCACTGCACAAAAAACATTTGTTGGAAAATGTGAGAAGGAGATTGATGGAATTTTGTGGAACACTTCCATGAAAAAATGTTGCTAATGACTGACAATCCTTAATGTTTAGCTCAGGGAGCATATGGGTTTCAGGGTATGAACTTGTAAGGAATTGAAACCACTTTATAAGTCAGGTTAGTTGTTTCATACAAGAGTAATGAAAGGAAAATGCATTCACTTGTTTTTTTATTATAGCCAGGATTATCTGATTATATCCTTAAGTTTAAATATTAAAAACATTTAGTCCATCTACACACTATTCTTTTCCTAGTTAACTCCCATTTAGAGTATACAGTATTTACAGCATTCATATGAGTTCACCTTACAAAACCTCTGCATTTCAGAGAGGTGACCTACATATACAAGTGTAGCTGGAAAGCCTTGAGTTTTTTTAGCACTTTCTCTCTTGTTCCTTCTGGGATGTCTCTCTCTATTTCAACTTGAGGTAAATCTATCAGGCTTTGTATCTGTCTGTCTAATTGTAAAACTTGTATTATTGTATGAAAGGGTGAACATGGCTGAGTTTTTATCAGCCCTTTAAACGCGATGAGGTATATTTCATTTCAAGTTAGACCTCTAAAACAGATGGCGTGCGTATCTTTCATGCCACTGACTCGTACAGGTTTGCATCCAAACTTACATTCATAACGATACGAAATGATCTCATTACAATTGTATGACCTTGCAGTTGATACTTTATCCTGAAATACCCTGCCAAACAGATTTAAATATTTTGATCATGGGACCTCTAGTTGCTGCTTAATCTGCCACATCCTGAGCAGAGTAACTGTGTGATTGAAAGCAGAGGCTTCTGTAAATAGGAGTCACATTGCATCTGTCACACTGGGAAGGAAGTAGGTTCTTTATACATTTATTTTGTGTCAATTTATCTGTGTTAATAGGAATATTTTATTTTACTAATGATAATATCACTTATTCCAGCCACTGTAACTATTTCCCTTCAAGAATCAGAAATAGAAATATACTCTCGTGTCTGTGGGTGACATTTTCTTCTTAAAGAATGTTACTGTGCAGTGCTCCAGTTCAGTCTGTCACACTGAGGAAAGGGGCTTTGCTCCTTTGACAAGCTAAACCACCGTTTTGTGCTGTGGCGCATTAGAACATCACTGACAAAACTGATTGCCTGTTAATTCATTTAACACAAGGAGACAGAGCTGTATTTTGGTTATTTATGCCGTTACTATTTTGCATCAAAGCCCCGTCAACCAAAAGTTAAATATTTAGTGGCTGTGTATTACCCTTTGTTCAATGAACTGATCTTTTGTTTGACGGGGAAATGATTTAGTGGCAGGGGTACACTGCCAGTCCTACCTTTCCTGTTGTAACAATGGCCATTAAAACCACATATACCTGTGGCAGTGTACTGTAGACCTGTGAATGAAAGCGTACACACCTCTGCAGATGTCCCATAGGCACTGACATGTGATATCTCTTCAGCCATTACCTCATGGTTCTTTTGTAAAGCATTGTAAAACTAGTCAATGTCTTTTGGGTGGTGCTGGCAAGAAAAGTTTGGACTTACCGGTATATTGTTCTGCAACATGCCAGAAGGGGAGAAATATGCCTAATATATATGTTCCGTTTAAACTGGAACCTTCATAACTTCATCTGGGATTACACTTGTACCATTAGTTAGGACACTTAGTCTGTTTGACCCCTGCTGTATCACACCAGCTGTGCAAGGAAAGAAAGAGGGGAAAGACGCGTTTAGAAAGACTCTGTGTCTAATTGATTTTGTATCTTTACCCTTGAACGTTGGGCCTCTGGAAGCCTATATTCTTTTTCTTACTTATGTTTCCATACCATTGAGTTCTCCCAGTTAGTGCGCTGATTAATTGGAAACTCAGATATTGAAAATGGTGCACGCAGGTTTGGTCCTCTCTTGTCTGTTTTGCTTCTGTATCAGGACCAGTGTTAAGCTCCCTATCCAGAACACTGGCCTAAAAATGCTGAGTCACCCTTTAGTCTGATAGTGCCATTAATCAATACTGTTGCCTCGAGCTGAGAGGAAACACTGCAGCTCACTGGGGACGTGATGCTCCATAAAGCGGTCCTATACATTGTTTTGGGCTGTTCTACCTCTTGTCAGGCTGCACTGCAGAGCACAAAACTGCCACAGTAACAGCAAATACACCAAGAGATTATTCTTCCTCTCATTCCACAGTTGTTGCCTCACATCCTTGCTCTCTGTCTTCTTTAAAATATAATTTTTTCACAAATCCTGCATTGCTCTTGGTCTTTTTATCATACAGTATCACATTGGTATCCAATTACGTAATTCACAGAAATATATTTGGAGCTGTATGCAGTATGATTTGGATAAGATGCACAGAGAATGTTTTGGTATTCACACACAATATTACCATCCACATGAAGGAGTGGGAAAGCTTCATGATCTAACATGATACCAGTTGCCAGCATATTGATCTGACTGTACAAAATACCATTGATTCAACATGGATGCATTTCTGGACGCTGTTAGATATCCAAGTGGACAGATGAGGGACTTATCCACTCATACATGTATAGCACTACTTGGTAAAACAACTGTTGCAGCAACTTTTTTTCTTCTATTTTAAGAAGCACTTTGTTATTTGTGCACCCCGGCACTTCACACATGGAGTAACGATCCTGTTTAATTTGGTCGTAAAACTTTCCTTCCAGCTGTGGGAGTTTATGTCAGTATTGCTGTGAGAAATTCTACAGGTTTTATTAATCATTGATCCTCTTAATGTACAATAATGACTTTGCACTGGCCTGTCTGCTTTATCATCAGAGGGTTTTCTGAAATGTGTTCATCTGTCTTTTATTTCCAGCATCCTACTCCCAGTATAGATCAGAGGATGGCAGACTGTCTTTGGCGACTCAGGCCAGCTCTTCAGGCTCCGGGCTAACTTACACTCCCAACCTGACTCCTATTCCCACTCCCACCACAAATCGCACCAGCATCAGCCCTAATAATTATGCTGCCAGCAAAGCGGGTAAATATAGGCACATTACAGCTGAATCAGGGCCCGTGTTTTCTGTTGGCTTTTAATTCCACGTGGAAACTGTTGTCTTTGGTGCAGACTCGCTGCTTTTCAACAAGATCGATGAGCGCCAGAGGTTGGCCCGTGAGCGCAGAGAGGAGCGGGACAAACACAATGGTGAGTATAATGGATAGAGCCACATCTCTCTGGTCATCGGTTCATTAATGTATCATGTTGGACCATGTTTTGGGAGCTGTGGCGAATGGCCTGTTACCTTAAAGTTACATAAAATCGAGACTGAAGCCAGATACCCTGTTGCTACGGATTAGATGTTGCATAATGGGGCAGTGTGCGGTACAGGCTTTAGAAGGGCTGATGTTTTAGGGATCTTGTTTTGGGAGTACTGTCTAAGAAACATACTGGAGCAGATGGGTCTTAGAAAGGTGAAGCTTGTTTGTTAGTTTGTGCTTTGTTGACGTGTCTTAATTCTGATAGTGTTTTACAGTAGTCATTCCTCTGACTCCCGCTAAGTGGCTTTGGGATTTGCTTTTTATTTTGTACTGAAGCTCAGTCACATGACTTGCAGCTGACCCTACTCTGTCGTGAAATTTTGCCGCACATGCACCCCCTGTGAACACATTAAGGCATAAGACGTGATGTTTTGTATGTTCAACACGCCTCAGCTGCTAAAGAGGCTCAATGGCAGGCACGTGAGGAGCGCGCCAGGCAGCACTATGAGAAACACTTGGAGGAGAGGAGAAGAAGGCTGGAAGAGCAGAGGATAAAGGAGGAGAAGAGGAGGGCCGCCGTGGAGGAGAAACGACGGCAGAAACTAGAAGATGATCGGGTACTTCCTAACTTTGCACCTATTGAAGCATCTGCTGAAATCTATTGTCCGCTTTACGTGCATCATTTCTGTGATTTTCCAGGTAAATAGATTTTTAAATGTTTTTTTTTAAACTAAAAGGCATCATTATAGAGTTAATAAAAGAGCATTTTGTCACATTTTTGCTGTTTGTGATCCACAGGCCTGTCAGTCCATTGGACATATACATATGTTATTTGGACAAAGTGGCAATCCATGTATTTAGCTAGTAATTGGTGAATGGTTCTGGTTAAAGGCGCGTCATGAAGCGGTGATACGTCGAACTCTGGAAAGGAGCCAGAAAACCTCACAGAAGCCCAACCGCTGGTCTTGGGGTGGAGTGCTGCAGACGAACACTCCGGCCACATCAGCAGGTGCTTCATCTCACACCTTAGAGCACCAAACTCTCCCACGCACTTTTCATTCTATTGATGCACACAGAGCATACAGCCATGTATTGAATGGTGATTACTGAGTATTTCTTTGTCGTCCCCGATGTGTCTCTCTTGTATAGATATGTTTGCCTGCCTGTGCTTGTCCGTATTGTTCTGCCATGTTATTATTTGAACTTTTCAGATCTGCTGCCTCTGTTGTTGCTGCTTACTCATACCCTTCTCTTTCTCTCCCTCATTCTCTAACTCAACCTCTCTCTGGCTCATTTTTCTCCCTCTACCTGCTCCCTGCTCTTTGTTTCTCCGGCTTTGTTCTCTCCACTCCTGGTCCAGGTTTTGTCGAGTCAGTTTTCCTCTATCCACTCGACCTTGCTGGACTGGAGCACATGCAGGGTGCTTTCAGTCTCTACCGCAGATATGGAATGACCTCCCAATGTGAATATTTAAGCAGTGTCTCACTTAGCTGGCTGGCGTTAGATCGCTAGCAATAGCTCTGTAACTGCACAGAACCATCCTAGCTCACTCTCGTTAGTGTACATGTAGGCCATGTGTGTGGCAGGGTTAGTATGTGATGTTTTATTTACATGTGGCAGTCCAAGTGGTACCTGAAGTTCTATCCACAGCACACAATCATTCAAAACATTCTGATTTTAGTTTAGACCTATTTAGCACTAATTCATTCTGCTTTTCTTTAGCCGTGTTAGTAGTTTTTCACATCTAACCTGAATTAACCACAGTAGAGAATCCTCTCAGTGAGTGCTGGCTCCAGCTCCCTTTTCCTCTCTCTGCTCTCCAAATCCTGCTGTTGTGTTGATCTGTTTTTATTATCTTTCTTTGACCCTAGATTCTGACAGAAGGTCAGTGTCCACTATGAATTTATCCAAACATGCAGACCCCATCATTACCAAGCGCCTCTCCTCCTCATCTGCCACACTCCTGCACTCACCAGACAGAGGTAATGAAAACAGAATTGACTCACATACTTATGACACCATCTGGTTGTGGTTGTGTTATCTGTAGTCTGATAGCTATTAGAAATGCCATTTTTGTGAATCAAATGGAAAACTTAGGTTCAGTGGCTGACTTGCTTTCTTGCTGAGACAAGATGAAATTGTTACTTATCTTTAAAAGTAAATATGAAACCTGCTGTCAGCAGAAAAATCTGATCTTAGAAGATGTGTAAACATCAAGTCTGGTTCTGGCTAAAGGTAGAAAAAAACGTGGTGCATTTATGCCACTGCATCTAATATGAATAGTAATAGTGGTGTAATGACTGCCTCATCACCTCCATGAGGATACCATGGTGCAGTACAATAAGCAGTGAAATCACAGGCCTTCAACATTTTTTAAACTTCTATGTTGTGAGTAAGCATTATGGGTATAAAGTCTGATGTTTTAAAGAGATAAAACAAAGGTTACAGATATCATCTAACACTTAGCATCTGAGCACATTTAAAATAAATTCTGATTTCGTTTTTAAAAGTCTATATTTTGGAAGTTCTTAATGAACAAGTCATGTATTCTTTGATGTTCATATGTTTTTAACAGGTTTACAAATGCGAACAGCCTCCTCCCCTGTCATAAGCAAAGCTCTGTCCAAACCCCGTCTACATCTGGGGAAGACACCACAGAGCAAAAACACAGGTCCTCAGGGCAACTTTTGGTCTATCCTGTACACTCAGTGTTGCTATGCTGAAAGATCATGGGCTGAAAACTGTGAGGGATTCCAAAGCGGAATATTCCATTGGTAGAGAGATGTGTATGTCTGTTTGTCCTCATCTCCTATCCCTGTAAATGTTGATCAGAAATCCTGCTGTTATAAAATATCATGAGAGCAGATTATCTCTACAGTTTTTACCAGTGTCCATCATTCACTGTTGATGTTCGCACTGGCGTGTTTCATCAACAGCATTTTTTATTTTTGCCCCCTGCAGAATGACCCCTTTCTCTAATCCTCTGTAGGATAATCTTGTTGTTTTTGTGGTAACACTGTATGCTGTTTATTTCTCGGCTTCAATAATTGACACCCACATTTTAAACAAGCCGGTTTGATTGTCATTGCATCACAATTTGCTCATTTGCAACCGTTGTTATGGAGTCGAAATGTATTCATCATGGTTGAATATGGACACTGTAAGAAACATCAGTTAGGTGTAACACAGACTCTCAGAGCAGGAATTGTTTAAATCCAAAGTGGCACAGATGACTCGTTCATTTGTACAGTTTTCAGCCCAGTCTGATCTTTTTTTAGGCACCCAGAAACCTCAAAACCTGGTTTTACAATGCTGCATGCTTTGAATCTTATACATTATGTGGGTAAGACAATGTTGTTCATATTGGTAAAAATCTTCCTGAGCTACAAGGGAATATTGGCCAAAAAGTGGACTTTCTTGCATAAGAAAATGGCAACTATTGGGTTATTTGTCTGGAAAAGTCACAGGATAATTGATAACATAATGTTTGGGTAAAGGCCATCACCAAAGATGCTGGTGCAGTTTAAACCTCTCGCTTCTTCCTGCATTTGCCTTTTCTTTGTGCTTCACCCCAAGGGGTTTGCTTACTCTCATAATCAACAGCCTGGTGCATGCAAGTATGGTTTGCTCTCACCTGGGCTTCCATTCAGTCTCAGGGAAGGAATGGGCCTTGCTTTCAGTGATTATGTATAACATTTAATCTGCTTTGACTGGTTTCTTGGGCTGATCAGCAGTTGGTTATTAGTTGGAACTCTTATCAAACCGTATATGTTACGTGTGTGTGTGTGTGTGTTTGTGTGCCAAGGCCTGCGCCGCCTTCCTTTGACACCTTGGGAGAGCAATGTGGTGAACCGCCTGCAGCAGCCAACACACTCCTACCTGGCTCGCAGCCGGAGTGCTATGAGTCTGTCAGGAGAGCAAACAGGTAAACCCCACAAACACACACACATCAGTGTGAAGCCCATCCTGACTCCCTAAGTTAGGAGATGGACTGCAGTCCGGAGACAAAAAACACCCATAAATCACTGCCTCTTATGGTGAGAATTATTTGCACATTATTTATGTCGTTTATATTTTAGTCTCTTGGCTGAAGTAATTTCGGATGTTAATCAGATTGGTTTGGACTTAAAGCATTACACTGTCTGAAACTTCAACAGCTTGTGTCAGGCACCCAAAGCTTTCTCTCTCTCACATACACACACGCACACACACAAACAAACACACTAAGGTCTAAACAAATAAGCCATTCAGGAAGTGTTCAACAATTGATACTGTGCCTGGTTTTCATTTGCTGTTATAACAGCAGAAGTTTTACAATATTTGTTTTTTAACTGCTTTGGAGAAAAATAAGCACTTAGGCACTGATTGCGGCTTGCATTTGGATGGAATGTCATTATTTCAACAAACTGTGTCCCAATATCCCTTCGGATTTGCATTTCATTTTACTGTGTAAATTCTGCTTTAGCATTTCCTTAGAATTGTGCAAAAAATCTAATCATTGATCAAATCATTTCTGCCCATTTGGAACATGGTAATCACTGCAGTATTTTTCAGACGGCAGGCTCAAACCTGTTTTCTTAGTTCAATTCCGACAGTTTTTCTGTTTTTTCAGTTAAATTTTCTTTGTGTTTTGTAATTACTTGGATTTTCTCAAATCTGCAGCATTCAGAAGTTTACCAGTTCTCTCTGCTTTCAACTTAAATTAATGGTGTAAAGAAAAATTTAAATTTTTATGTGGTGGCATCCAAGCTTTAGATGTTTTGTTTATTATATTTCCTTATTTTCCTTATTTCCATTGATCTGTCTCAATGCAATAGTGATGGTTGCTGTATGTTTGTGGCTGCTCTTCCAATCAGTAGTAATAACACTTTCTTTCTCTTCTTCTCTGTTTCTACCAAACATCCCTTTTTTTTATTCCTTTCAATCCCCTGCTGGTTCATTATTACCCATATGACACCTTTTGTACTCCTTCCTTTCCTCCCTGTCTGACCTCTCTGACCTCATTGCATCCAATCTTCCTGGTGTCCCACAATCTTTTACACCATTCTGATCCATACCTTCTTCAAACCACTCCAAACCTTCACTTCGTACATTACTGTAGCCTTGCCTGTGTGTCCTCGCTCAGTGTCCTGCCACCCCATGGGCTCCATGTCCTTTAAGGCCCTGCAGGCCCAACCCCTCCCGCACTGTCGCAGCCAGGAGAGGAGCCTCAGCAGGGGCACGGCTTCCTCGTCTTCCACCGCCCTGCGGAGGAGAACCACGGGAACAGCACAGGTACGAGGTTGTATCCAAATGTGAGCTCTGCAATTGAAGATGAACTTTTCCTTATGAGACTGTGCTGACATGGTCGGAGCGATTCTTTGTGATACTGTAAACTTATTTTTCAGATTTAATTGCTGGTCTCAAATAATCACTTGATTTTAGCCCCTCACTTTCTACTCCTTGCCGCTTCCTTCAAATTAGTGCTTTCAAAAGTTTAGTTTATTTAATGTTGCGCAACACGGACCTTCACAGAGACAAAGGTGTGGCCACAGCAGTGCTAGCTGTTTAAACATTGTTTACATTGGAGTGTCACCTGCATTTTGGCCAACATGTTGCCTGAACAAACACAGTTGTCACTGCCTAAGACGCATCTAAGCATTTTCTCCAAGCACTTACACAGAAGGAGTAACTAATATTTGCTGCGTCAGGAAAGGTTAGACTTTTTTTTCTAGGATACGCGTGCTTTGCTCGGTTATATATATCTGAAAGACCCTTACTTCAGTCAGATATATGGGTGTCATCACGTTCTCACTGCAGTAGCCGCTGTCCATCTGTCCGCCGCCGTCGCAGCTTATGCCATTAAGGTTTTAGAGTGAATGCATCTTCTGTACTGTACGTGTCTGCATACTGACATGCACACAGATAATCCTGATCCACTCCAGAATGCCACAAGTGTACCACTGACACTGTAGTCACTCATGTTTGGATACCCAAGGTCACCAGAATTTCCTATATAAAAACACTTTTTTCAAAACTTCCTCAAAAGTAAGAAAATGGATGCAAGGTAAGATGGCGTCAAAGAGACTTGATTTATAGGCTTTTGTGATTTTTTTTTTTCTTTTTTAGTTTTTTGTATCTAATATTCTTTCATTCGTTGGTACCTGAGAAAGGCTGTCTAAGCCTAATCCTGTTAAAGAACAAATGCTGTCGTGGGGCACTGTATGGGGTCTGTATGCTCGATAAATCCACTTTAGCCCAATCCTAGTTTTACTCTATATCCCTTTCTCCTTCATCAGTGTATTTGAAAGCCCTCCAAACACCTGGTAAGATTTGTAATTGAATTTGGAGGTTGGAATCTAGGGGGGTGATTGAAGATGGGCCATAGTAGTTTAATTTAGTCTATTTGCTTTGCTACTTGGACCCTGATGCATTATATTAAAAAAATTTTTTTTGCCCAATCTATGTTCTCCCTGCACCAGCAGCCAAAGGAACGAGACAACGTCAGGAAATCATGGAGCAACCTGTCACTTCCTCTGGCTCCCATTCTAACGCTACCCCCCAGCAAACACACCTCTTCTTCAGGAAAGAAGAAAAGCAAAGTGACAGCTCCCCCTCCTGGCAGGTCGGGGGATATTTCTCATCTCTGTTTCCACCGTGGACTTCAAAATTAGCTGCAGAGCAGTTTAAGGAGGTGTTTTCTCTTTTGCTCACAGACCTCCTCAGAAGGCAGCAGGGCGCCCTCCAACCCCCAAAATGCTGAAGTCTCCAGGATCAGAAGACCCCGGAAACCTTAGACCTGTCAGGATTACACCTGAGAGCTCGCAACCCTCAACGCCTACCAAAGTGCAAGAGGAGGAGGAAGAGCAGGTTCTCAGCCCCCCTCAGCCTCGACCTCAGCCCCTGGGACAGAACAAGACAGTAACAGATCCAGGTCACCGCTTTGTGCCCTACATTATGATACCCGAAGGATTTTTAACTGTAGTTAACTTAATTGTGACAATATTCATGTATTTTAGATCTAAATGTATTTTTTTCTAGAGAGTGCAAGCAGCTCTCCAGCTCAAAAACCTTCAGCCGGTACCACAGATCCAGAGGAGGCGAGCCGTATCCTATCTGAAAAACGGCGGCTTGCACGTGAGCAGAGGGAGAGAGAGGAGGAAGAAAGAAGGCAACAAGAGGAGCAGGCGAGGTATGCTGGCTGTGCAAAGAGAACTGCGTTAGAGGTGTGTGTGTTTAGGCATTCAGCTGAACCCTGGGTCTGCGCAGACTGGCAAGAGAGGAGATGGCTCGCCGGAAGGCAGAGGAGAGAGCGAGGAGAGAGGAGGAGGCTCAACGGCAAGCAGAGCTGAGCAGGAGCAGGAAGGAGGAGGAGGAGAGAAAGGCAGAGGAGCAAAGACTTCAGAAGGAGAAAGAGGAGACAGACAGGCTCCAAAAACAGGTGTTTTTTAAGAAATGTTCAGGACTTACGGTTGAATTTGGAAAAGTCCCATCTTTAAGCCTGAGCTGAACTCTGATGTGCATCTTTGTTTGTTAGAAAGAGGAGGAGGAGGTTCGACAGAAAGAGGAGACAGAGCGTCTCAGGCAGGAGAGAGAAAAGCACTTCCAGAAAGAGGAGGCTGAACGCCAGGAGAGAAAGAAGGTGATTTAAGTTCAGGTAAAAACATACAATATTCAAACCGTTCAGCATGTTATAGCTTCTTTTTCATTCTTGCCCCCAGCGCCTTGAAGAGATCATGAAGAGAACAAGACGCTCAGACACGGCAGAAAAGGTGATGAACTCGGTTCTTCCAGGGCAAAAATCCGGCACACATTTAACTGTACACTCTTTTTAAAGTTTTTATATCTTCATATGTCCTCTCCAGAAAGTCAGGAATGGAGACAATGCTGGTAACTCCATAATATGTTCTTTACCTTGTCTTTACTCTTCTCAAACATTTCTTCTGATGGTCCCACAATGCTGCGCCTGAGAGCCATGTTTGTTTTCTTTCCTCCTCAGCGCCCCCCGCCCCCCCTGCTGCGTCTGTAGTGGCGGTGCCCCTCACACACAATAGCAACGGCAACGTTCAGCAGCCTGGGCCCGACCCGAACCCCAGCAGCACAGATCTGAGCCAGAGGTCGAGCTGAAGATGTCACACAAGCAGCTGAAATGAATTCACTCCATAAATCACATTATTTTTTTCCCATTTACAGTACTGAGGGTAAAAGTTTATTTTTCCTCCATCCTCTGTGTTTACAGGGAGAACGGGGAGTTTGAAGAGGTGATCGTACTGCCTTCACATTCCAGGTTGTCACCTCCTGAGGGAGAGGAGCAGCAGCAGGAGAACGAAGAGGGGGGGAGAGTTCCTGTGGTAGCCTTCACAGAGAATGGTCTCCTAAAGCCTCTGAGTGGAGTAGAGGACATATCAGCCCAGCAGGGACCAGGTCACTGAACATTCCGTATTCCTCTAACTGCCGGATTTTTATTCTCTTGGTTTTTAAACTCTGGTTATGTCAATGATGTCATCAAACAGAATTATGTAATCAGCCTCAGATTTACAGGTTTCAATATTCACCTATGTTTACAATGTTATAACCTTTGGTTATTCCCTTGGCTGAAATGTTCCTGCCTCTTTACGGCCTCTCTTCCCTCTAGGTTAATCTTTGGTTCCTTAAACCATAATGTCAAAACAAAGTGAAAGTTTTTCCCAACAGGAAGAGATCATATTTCATTCTGAAAATGCGTTTTTCAGAAAAGCATTGTTGTTTGTTTTGACAACAGCTGAACTCCTTCTGTGTTTTTCTTCTGTAATTCAGATGTTGCCTGATATTATTTTGGGAAACAATGGTCCCACACCAGAGGGAGAGGAGAAAAAGTCAGACGAAGGTTGAGTAACAAAGAACGCTTGGACTGCGTTAAAGGCAGGACTCACGGCACCAGATTTGTACTTTTCCCCCACTCCTGCAACAGAGAAGCTCGGCAGCCACTTCCCAAAGATGGTTTCTCCAAAGATCTCCCAAAAGCATCCCCAGAGAGAAGTCTCCTCTGAGGAGAAAAAGCTCCCCCTCTGTCTCTGACCACGATGACCCACGCTGACCCGGCTCCCCCTGACTCTGTCGTAGATGTCCTGATGTCACAGGACGTCCCACTCACATTCTGTTTGTGATGCGTATGATTGTGAGTGTGAATGAGGAAGTGATAGTAATGTCAACTGAGATCACCTGTTGAGTATCCAGCCACGATACTTGAAGATTTGTGTTGCTGTAGACATACTTTGATCAGGTTTTCAGCAGCATATGCCATTGCTGTAACTTATGCAAGCTCTGAAATACACGGTTGCATTGGTTCAAATGGAACCCTGTAATTCTCATCTTTCTCCACTTCTACTAGGATGTTACAGAAGACTTTGGAAGAAGGAATATTGGTTGTTGAAGTGGTATTGAGACTACTTGAAAGTGTCCCGTAATGTTGTATATTCTGCTGCGTCTACAGTGTTTAAAACTAGAGGTTGTGGGGGGGGGTGATCGAGTATTACGGACTTTAGGGTTTAACAATGACTAAATGAAAAACGCTGTTCTGTCAGACCACTGAGTAATAAGGTGTAAACTTCTTGATTTCTTTGTTAGTTTTTATTTAATTGCCGTACAGTAACGTAATTCTTTTTGTCTCCCTTACCATATTCAGTTTCTGTTGATGTTTAGAAAAGAGCTTTTCTGCTTTGGCTTGAGCCCCTTCTTTCGTTTACCCTTCAGAGTGAAACCATGTCAAAGCTGCATCGTTTGACAGAAACTCCTTCCCTGGACAGCGTTGGAGGACCCTGCTTGTAGCATAGTTGGCCTTTTTTTTTTCTTTCAGCCAAGCCAGTGTATGATGGATTCAAATGGTGCACTGGTGGTGTTGAAATAATCAGATTAATTTGATCATTTTGATGAAGAAATGCTGCTAATTTTGATGTTCTTTGCCTTACTGCATTGTAGGAGTGAGGTGACTTTCTCTCTACACTGAAGTGAAAATATACATTCCTAGCATGAGCTTTGACATTCTGGCCGTGTGCCCAGACTCCCCAGTGGCTTCACTTTGATGCGAGTATGAAAGTCTGATTAAATGCTCTGTTACTGTATTAGAGCTTTAAAGTCTTACTAACGGTCCCTCGCAGAGACACGAGGTGTGAAGTTAAACACTGTTGAAGGGTTTTTTTTTTCCCCAGCTCCCGGTAAATGCTGCTGTGTTTGCATTTGGTTCTCATGCCTTTGCACTTCAGTTCCTCCCGTCATATCTCACAGTATCAGGGCCAACAAAATGACATGAACTTCACCTCTCAGTTATGTGCTGCACATATCTGTCAGTACGACAGGACAAGCTAAAAAACTTGATCCTGAATTATGCAAAGTGGTAATTTTACTGACGCCACAAAGCTTTGAGAATGAACTCAAACAACAGAGTGGCTGGCATTAGTTCTCTGAACCACTGTATCATTTAAATTTCTGTACAACTACTGCAGCTATATGATTTGACAACTAAATAAAACCTTTCTGATGATTACCTATTCAGAGTCTGGGAATTATTTTTTTTGGTCACTTTCCACGAAAGAATATGTATGTGGACATAATGGCTTATATTTTTTACATTTATTTTACAGTGCGTAAATTAAACTACCTACAAGCAGAAGCACAGAGAAAGACTTGATCGATAGAAAAATAACAGATCTTAAAGTGACAGCTCAGAACAAGAAATCTAAGAATGATTTACAAATGACAGAGACACTGAATAGAAAACTCAGTCCAGAATTTTTTTTTTTTTTTTAAGTGAATGTCTCCATTCAACCCTGGCTGTTGTTTCTAGAGGAAGTCTGTAATCTGTACTTATTCACATGCTGATCCATTTGCAGTCACTGGCACTCCTGTGATGTCCTGTAACAGGCAAAGGTCTTTAAACACACTCCCACCGTTTCACAACACTCCATCTTCACCAGTAAAATGTTTTTGTGAGGAAACCGGCAGCAGCATTGAGCCAGCTGCCACTTGAATCTTCCTTAGCTGCTGTGCGGGAAATTGCACGGTCGGTCCCCCTCTCTGGGCTCTCTTCTTCTGGGAGGTAGTCTGGAAGGGCTGAGTTTTGCGCCACCTCCACCCCATTAGAGTGCAGAGGAACGTAAACCTGCACAGAACAATGAAATGAATATTCTAAAAACTGGTGATTTAAAGACGCATACAGTTCTCCACCAGTGGAATTTAAAGGTCAATCACCTCTTCCCCTGATTCAGTCTGCACCACTTGCTGGGCTGACAACACCTGAGTGGCTGCGATGGCTGATGCTAAACTCTGCAGAGGAGGAGAGATTAGGGCAGAATTATTGAGGTTTCTCAGGATTCTGTCTACTTTCTTCTGACAGATGCTCGTTACCTCAGTGGGCAGGTCTGAACGGATGCGGACTGTACATCTCTTAGATGCCATTTGAAAAGTAAAGCTGATCACTCCTTTGACTTTTAGCAGGGCATTCTCACACAAGCTTCGCTGGTGCTTCAAAGTAGAGAGAAGATGCATAAGTACCCTTGCTGGAAATTATAGGGGCCATTTCCTTACTATTCACCGGTTGGCGTCCTTACAGTGCTGTCCAACCCCTGGATGTGCAGTGTGACTGACTTTGCCTTCTTGCTGGAGGAGTTGATAAAGAACTGGGGCTTCTTTCTCCTTTCCGGTGTGCGGGGAATGGGATTAGGAGGAGAACTCAAAATGTTATAAACCTCTTTAGCCAAGGCCGTGATATCAATAGACAGATCCTCTCTGCATGGAGAAAAAATAATCAATTAATTCATTTAGTTTGGAGTGTAAAAAGTCAAAAGTTTATAACAATAAAGATAAGATACAATCATCTCACCGTTCAAGAATATTCTCCAAGCTCACCATCATGCCAAGTTCGTTCTTCATGGTGGGGATATTGAAAGACAACTCAGCCAAGTAACGAAGAGTCTGAGAAGGGATTACCGGTTTAATGACTGAGTACTGCAAATGTCCTGGCATCATCCAGCAAAACCATATTTTAATGCTATATACACAAACTAAACCAGACCATAGCACTAAATTATTGGGGCCCAGCACCCCTCTTACCTGTAGAGTAGCAAACAGAACTTCTGGATCTTTGTGATCCAGGAAAAGAACCAGCCCGGGAAGACAGCCCTGGTCCTGGACTATCACCTGTCGGTTCTGTGGCTCAGAGGCAAGATCCCGCAGCTGACGCACCACCGACAGGGCATCCATCATCTTTGTAAATTTAACCAGACCTGGAACTGGAAGACACAATTACAGACAACTCGATTATTTTTTAAGTTAGGTGAATAAAATGTGTTGTAACGCCTAAATCAACAGAAAGCCAGAAAGTTGTAACCTTGTAATAAATCCTAAAAATGCTCAAAAGACACAGAAAAACAGTGTTAACCGTTCAAGTTCTGACGTCAATGAACAAGCTAATGGGGCTAGCTAACTGCTTCCTACACGTTAAGAAACCTCGCGGCTGTACTATAAACCCTTCTATTCCCTTTCGTGTACCGTTTGAACTACAAACTGTGATATCACAGTGAACTGTATCATTTTAAAGCAGTCAAAGTGCAAATAATGTTGACACGTTTAGTTCAAATTGTTTCCTTACCGCAAGGAGAAAAGTTGCTCGTGAAACAAAAATACAAATGTTGTACTTTTCTTCCTTTGTGACAAACGATTGGTCGGCCAGCCGTTGGTGACACATCTGCATCCCCCTCTCCCACTGGTTCGTGGTTCCACTTCTGCCTTCGCAGCCAATCACAGGACGTGTTGCTGCTGCAGCTTTATTTGACTTCAGTTGTTCCTGAACGCGTGATCGAAGACGAAACCTATCAGTCTTTGGCTGGTTAAATTTTGTTTTTATTTATTGCACAAACAAAGGATAAAACGCGTAGCCACTGAGATGTAATTTTTTGGGACTAACCTACAAGAGAATGGTAAATATGTACTTGTTTTTTTTGCTTTGGCGCATCCTCTCCATGGCATCAGGGAACGCACTTTTGATGAGCCATGCAGCTTTTTGCACTGCGGCACCCGCACTGCTCAAACAGGACCGACGGGGCTTTCTTCTCTTTAACTTAGTTCGGTGTTAACTTTCTGATGTGATTACATTCTGCTGACTTTGAATCAAGTGATGTCTTGAAAATGTAAAAATCAGTAAACCGTCAGTCAACAATGCAGTTTGCAAACAGTTTGTGTAAAAGGTGAATTGTTTTAGTTAAGAATTTGCTTTTTTGTTTGAGTCACATTGAGGATCTTTTAAAATCAATCAAACCAACCACAAATATAGCTTTACTTAATTATAGTAACGCTTATACAACACGAGACATTTTCAGTTAGGTTTAGTTGTAGTCAGCAGCCCCATTCAGTGCAATGTAGACTAAGAGTTATCAAACAACATATGTGTAAATGAGAGAATATCAAAACAATATTCTAAAACGATTAGTGTTTGTTGTGATTACTGTTGTTAAGCTTGAGTTCTTACATGTTATTCAGTCTCTGCAATGATCTGAGTCACAATTTCTTTCAAATTCTTTTGGAATGTGAGGTTAACTGCCCCTCCAAATTCTATCCTCTATTGTTTGACCCTCAGGTGGAAATAAAGTGACTCTACTCTGCACTGGCCTCCCCCCCAAGTCGGTCAGCAGAAAGACGAGCTTTGCATTTGTCAGCTGGTGCAGGGAACAGTCTTTCCAATGTCTTTAGTGGAGGATATTCTCGATGTGCTGCACATGGTGCTGGAGTACTTTGGAGTGTCTCCAGATATGGTAGGTGAACACACACTACAACCATGTTTGTTTTAAATGCCCATAAATTGGGCAGTTGTCACTCTTTAGCACGTATCTTACAGAGGGAATCCCTCATTATTGTGATTGTGTTGTGTTTTTTCTGTAGCTGGTTCCTGTGTGGGACAGTCCTCTGTGCGGTCAGTATCGCAGCATTGTGCGAATGGTTGGAACGAACCTCCCCTTGAAGCCTACCCCACGCGTTCACTTTGAGGTGTTGTACAGCTTTTTCAAATGCTTGTTTTGAACCTGTGGGTTTGTACTGAATCCACATGCCAAATGTGTTAGTCAGCAGCAGTTTGTTCCTTTTTTTTTACACGTTATTCATCAGGTTATTTAGAGTTGCAACAACTTATTGATTAGATAATCAGCTAAGCGATTGTGAGTATTTTGTATACATTTTGGATACGCTTTTTCTCTGTTCTTACCCATATGCCATATGCAAATATACAAACAACATATTTTTGTAATTTCAGTGTCACGGTGTTTAACTTCTAATGTCTATGTTCTATTCTCAGATCCCCCTGGTTACTTATAGGGCCCATGGACACGTTGAAATCTCAGATGCTCCAGCTATCCCCTCATTGGCTGATGTCATGTGGGTCTTTGATGACGAGGGGGACAGCTTTGCCAAAACCAGGCAAGAAACACAAGCACCTTGGAGTTTTTTATTTATCTTTTCATTTCACTGAGGATGTTGAAACTCCTACTAAGAGTGGACACACCCCACTTCACAGTTGTAGCTGATCTAACCTAATCATTTTAGAGTTGCGCATATCAGACATTGTGTTACTTACCCTGCAGGATGCAACATCCATTCATTTTATTGTATTAAGAGGCTGATTCACACCAAGGCCCTTAAAGCACTGAATGCGCTCATGCCACTGTACAGCTGACAATGTCTCAGCACAAAACCTTTCATGACACAAACGGGTAACAACTTTAGATGCACATCTGACAGTTTGTCAGATTGATACCCCCTTACCTCTCTAAACTCAAACTAACACAGTCTGCTGCCACAACCATGAGATCTACTGACATTTTCTGGAAAATACTAATTTCAGTGACCGAGCATCACAATAACCTACACAGCATAATGAGGTCGACTTCGGATTAAATGTCTATTTTAGCATGCATCCACAGACACCTTGTTGTGTATAATCGACGAGGATTTCACACTCAGATCTGTGTTTGAATGTGCAGACATCATGGCTTTTAATTTGTTATTGCTGACTTTTAAAAAGGTTACTGTTTTCATTAGTCATTTCTGTAGTTTTTCCTCACACTAGCATGAGGTGACCGTCACTGTGATGGAATCTTCTTAACGGGAACTCAGCCAGAGCTTCTCTTGTTCAGGGAAATGATTTGAATAAAATAATTATTTAAATAAAATAATTTCCCTCTGGGATTATTAAAGTGTTTCTGATTCTGATTCAGCTCCGGGATCTCTTAACTAACAGTCTGTACCATAAAGCATACATAATGCCACTCAGGTTAAAAAGGGATTCTACTCTGTGTGGTCCTCATAGGAACCATTTACCTCCAAAGAAAAGCACCATAAATCGAGACCTGAGGAGATACCCAAGACCTGCTCCGAGTCAGTCCCGTGGAGCGGGAGCGTCTGATCCAGAAGCTCTGAAGAAAATCTCAGTGCTGGAGAGCGAGCTGGTCAAACTGCGAGCTCAGATCGCCATGATTGTAACTGCTGCCCCCCCCTCAGGTGAGCATGCATGCTTAGTCCGAACCTCCCTCAACTAAACACATCTACCTGTATCAAGACGGTGTAAAAATAAATAAATAATTGTATTGAAGTTTATTTCTTGAATATGTTTTAGCCCAGATAGATTGCCAGGATGCTCCAGGGTCACCTTTGACGTCCCTTCCTCCACCTCCAGCTCTCACCTCCACACCGCGCTGTGCACCTCCTCCTCCTCCTCCTCCCCCACCTCCCCCTCCACCCTGCCAAAACACCCCCACCGAGACATCATCTGTGTTTGAGATGATCAGACAGCGCAAGAAGACGGGTGCTGATAAGGGTCCGGTCCGGGGCCAGAACTCTGAACTCTGCAGAGGATCAGAAAATAAAGGGATTCCGTCCATGCTGGACGTTCTTAAAGACTTGAATCAAGTGAAATTGCGCTCAGTGGAGAGGTATTTGAGATGTTTAAAAGGCCTATCTGTGCTTCTGCTCAGGTTTGAGCCATAGCCGTTCATTTTCCCATTTCCTGACTATGTCACAGTTCAGCACTTGGTTGGAAATTTATGTTGTAAATGTTCAGAATAATTTATGTTCTTTGGTTAAAAGCTTTAGATGTTGCTCTCCCTGCCCTTAACAAGGCTAATTAGCTTTTTTCTCATTAGGTCTCCGGGGGGCACGCCAGTCAGGAGGAGACGCAGTAAAGGAGGCGCAGCGTTGCTGAACGACCCAGCAGCTCTTATCGCCGAAGCTCTGAAGAGAAAGTTCGCCCAGCATCGCCATAACAACTCCTCGGACAAAGAGAATTCAATAGAATTCTCTCCCTTCAGCAGCCCAGAAGCTCCTCAGGTTGGTCTCCAGCTAACACACGCCGCATTCCTACACCACCAACATGTGCAGGGCTGCTCAGCTCTGCCTTCTGTTCCAGGTGTCCGTCCACACCAGGCGCAGCCAGGGGCGCCGCCACTTCTGACTCGGGCCGAGTAATGGCTTTTTAACTCCAAGGGGACGCACCGAGCCCCGCCCCAGAACCCTCTGCTGCAGCTGCTGACTTTGCGTTGCTTTTTTAACTTTATCCCCTTTCCTCCTTTAAAGACTTTGTCTCTTTTAAGTGTTTCAGATGGGCAATTTGTTCATTTTGGTCAAGCAGTCACTGTAAACAAGAGTTATGGTACTTGTTTTGTTTTTTATTTTCTTTTATCTTTATTTTCTGTTACTTGGTGATAAGAAAATCTTTAAAATGAATAATGTGACAATGCGCCGGAGCAGGTATGCACTGTAGCTTCTACTCGCCTGCATTCATGTTTCTAAGAGAACTTTGTGAGGCCTTTGTACTTACCTCAGTGGGATTTTAGATTGATATAACTGTTCTATGCAATTTTATAAGTTTTATTTCATTAAAGAGTCTAATTGCACTGATCATTTCCTCCTTTTTGTGATCACATTTGTGCTAACAGTCGTTACAGCATATGTCTGTAGTGTTTGCATGTTGGTTTCTCAAATTTTTAAATGTTCTGTCTGTGGGAGTAGTTAATTTGATTACCCTATCATTCCATTTATTTCTGTATGTAACCAGTTTTTAGGGTCAGAATACAGATACACTAAATAGATGCTCTGTTACTTAACACCTAAAACTTAATTGAGTTATTCTTTTTTAGTGTGAACATAGTCAGCATGTCCGCTCGGTCCCTCAATAACTACTGGAGAAACGACTGTGAAAGCAGATCGCCTATCAGAACATCACATTGTTAAAACCTGTTTTCTAGTGACCCTCACTGGAGGTAATGTATCACACAGCAACAGCCCAGAATGTTGTCTCCTGCAGCCCCTTGAGGTCCCCGGTTGGCCCTGGTCCCACATCACATTACATTTCTACATCAGCAGGTAAAACCACTACTCTCACTGTTGTTAACTATTTTTTATCCCTAAGAAAGATTACATACTCTACATTTAGCTAATATCATTACATGTTGCAACAGTTACCGTATTAAAACAGTTCAATGAATTTTACCGAGTTATTAATCAAAGAACAATATTAGAAATAATAATCATCACCGAATTAGCGTTAAAGCCTAGAATGCATTATGAACTACCAGCATGTTGTCTCACATGCAAGTTAATGATACAACTTGTAACATGTTATAATAAATAAATGTAATTTTGCATCATTGTTACCCACCTTTTTTCTGCAGGCTCTTCTACTGTACTTATGTTTTTTTTTTAATGATGGTCCATGATAGTCCAACTTCTGATGTTAGAAAAAGAAATTAGTCAGATTTAAATAGACTATCTCGCTCAGATGTTTGGAAAAGAATGTCGATTCTGCCAGTTATTGATAAGATAAAGCTATCACATCCTTGAACCGCAAAAGAACATAAGTTTAAAAGATAAAACTGCTGCTAAACTACAGTATCAAACACACCAGTGTTTCGTAAAGATCTGCGCTGTGGTCAATTGTTGCTTAGATTTCAAAACTAAATTGTGGAAGTAGGCCCACCTTTTAAGGCTGAGCAAATCATCACAACTTTCAAGCAAACATGAACAAATTTGGGGAATTCTAAAACGTAGTCACATCCTTTGTTTGCAGTATCATTTGTATCAGGTCTCATTTGTACAGGAAACCTAAAGCGAATATACATTGTGTTCTAACCACAGCATGTAGGTTAGAGCACAATGTGCGGATGTGTCTTAACAGAAAAAAACACATATTAACATGCTCTATTTCATTTAAAAGAAAATTATTTTCATGGATTTGTATTTTTTTATTTTTAGACTGTTCTATTTAATTTATTTTGTTATAGTCCATGTCACATTTACCAGCTTCTTTTATCACCATAAGTAAAATGCCTAGATGCATTCTTGTATACATTCATATATCCATCCATATTTATATATAAAATATTAAACAAATGATAAATATGACGTTTTATATTTATGTGAAGTTTTGAAGTTATGCAAAAGTTGTACAACAAACAGTACATCTAGCTTAGATTTGCTTTCATTCCTTCAGAGGATACAGATTTTGTTATTATTACAAATATTGAAATATCAGCACAAGGGCTCATATTACCACAATGTTGAGCAATGGAATTTGGTTTATCAAAAGTGACTCTTTTCTAAGAATTCTATTTTTTTTCTTCAGTGGCCCTAATCATCTTCCGTACCTAACAAACCAATCACCTTCAAAAATAATCTTTTTTTTCTATTGACCCCTGATTGGTTCGGTCTTCATCAACCCCCCCCCCGGGTGAGGTTAAAGCCCCCCCCCCCCCCCCCCTGCTCTCTGCGGCTGAGCTCATCAGACACGCACATCACGGGGACAGGAAAGGCGGGGTGGGGGCACAGTAACTTAAACCTTTTTTTAAACAACCCACACTAACGGGACGGGGTCTGACACAACCGGGGCGTGACAGGACGATTAAACATTTAGTTTTTTTTAAACAAGTGTCAACCAGGGCACTGTCACCTTTCGTCCTGCGCACTCACTGCGTCTCCCGTGGCATGCAAACACACCGCACGCGCCAGATTCCGTCACGTTCACTTGTTATCCACGAACTGCCGCGATGGTTAAATGTCCTGTTTAATGGTCGAGGTACGTAGACCGCTTTTACAGCTTTGTCAGCCGTGTTCCTGTAAACAGACATATCCTTGTATACCGTGTTGTATTTTCCAGTTGGGCCGCTGAGAGATAACGAAGCATAACTATTCTAACTCTGACGACCTGCGAAGTGTCGCAAACCTTTAAATGAGAGTTTATTATTGACCGCGTTGCCTTCTGCTCTTGGTACGTCCTCAGAGACGTTGTTAGAGTGCTTCAGGTGTCTCTTTTGGTGACGGTAAACTTGTAAACTTGACAAACATAGCCTGTCTTTTACCATTTCTATTTTGTACAACAGTATTTTGTTAGCTTGAGTGTTGCAGCCCTGGGTCACGTCGGTGTATTGACAGATTTACAGCAGTCTACCTGCAGCCTGGACACTGCAGACCATGTTCAAGGGTTTGCCACTGTGCTAGTTTAAAGCTGTACGAAATATTTTGGACGATATTTCAATTTCCAAAGTGGTAGATAAGAATATAAATAACATATAATATAAATAATAATATAAATATTCTATTTTATTTATTTATTTATTTATTTATTTATTTATTTATTTATTATTATTTGCTAATCTGATTACCCCAAGTTGCTGGAGTTCTTAAAATTAAAGGTAAAAAAACAATGAGTTTGGCCTCATAATATATTTTTTTAATGAGGACTACAATCAGGGTTTATCAATATGAAAAGTTTGGCCTATTTAGAGCACTAGAAAGCTACTATGAAGATGTAAGGAAGGATGTGATCATGGAGCAAGAACTCATGGAAAAAACTGACTCAAGCGGGCATCCTGTAAACATCCTCTAACCACGTGGGCTGAATAAGTGAACAGTTGTCGCCTTTGGTTTGCTTCCATCCACCCATTTCCTGCCTGCCAGTAAACAATGTGTGTTGATTCAGATGTAAATCCTCCTGCTTGCAGTGTAGGTCAAAATTTACATTAATTAGGGTACCAAGTGGTTTGTCACATGTCCATCAGGTCACTCAGTTTACCTGCTTTATGTTAAGTGTCGACATGTTTCTTTTCCCTCGTGGTTGAAAGGCTTCTTGGTGCACTCAGTCCACTCTCACCCTAATCCTCTATGCACACACATACCAAGCTACTATAACTACTATAGCCATTACTAACTATTATAAATAGATGACCTCAATAAGCATCTGTACCATGCTCACTCTGCCTGGGCAACAGTTGTGGACTTTGGTTGTGATTTTGCTCCGATCAAGATATGTGGAGGCAGACAACATGGTGTCACTGAGCCTATCAATTTGAACTCATCAGAAATTAGATGAGCAAGGCTTTGCTTGTCGCTCAATCAAAAACATGGTTTGGAAGTGGCTGTGACATTTCACAACCTACAGAAAAACAGCAGTGGTAAACGTATTCAGGCGACCACAACTGAGAAAGACACTTTAATCAGAGGGTTGAAACACTTTTTCAGTTGATGTTTTTTAAGGTAAAAACGCCAGACATGAGCCTGTTCTGTATCATCAGATGGTAACGTTTGCTTGGTCGAAGTGTTAAGGAAACTGTTTTTAGCTCTGGTATATTTATGCAATGGTTAGTGTCTAATTTGAAATAACAGTGTAATTCTCTGTCATCACTTTCAGTGTTTTGTGGGTACAAATACAGACCCGTGTGACCTGAAATTGATACAAACACATCTTTTGTAGAGGAGGATATCTGATGGTGGAGATTGACCATGTGGAAGCATGTGATTAATGGAAGGCAAATTATTGGCAGTCTTTGCCGCTGTGCTGCCTGACCCACTTTTTCAGTGTCAGTGGGGCAAACACAGTAATGCTTCCACTGACACAGCAGATACCAGTGTCACTAAGTTTAACTACCCTTTTTTTCTTACCGTGATGATGAACAGATGCTCTTTATGCAAATGAGTAACTGAACCTAAGGTAGACAATAGGTAGGAAAACACTTATTAGAATATTAAACTCTGTTACTGAGAATGTGAATCATGAATCGAGAAAGTAAAAGTTTACTGTTAATTGTAAAAAAAAAAATCAAATAAAATTGGATAAATTGGATTCATAATTCAAAGAGTAAATATAAAGTTGCTGTAACTATTTAGGGCTTGTAGCGAAATAGACTGCCCGCAGATCAAATGAGCATGAAAAGGGTCTGTGGCCTCACACATGACTTTTAGTACAGAATCTATTCCGTTGTAAAGGATCACTGATGCTCTGTGAAAGTAGTGTGTATTTCTAATACTAATACTATTGTAATACTCTTTCCCCCCTCTCTCTTTTCAATCTTGTTCTGTGCAGAGGTGTGGAGCCGGCACTTTTGAATGGTTGGAGCAGAATGCCATACAGGTTCGCATGCTGGGTAAGAACACTGATGTACTTAAACGCCTCAGAGCCTAAAGTAGTTAATATACTTTATGTGGTCTGCAATGATTTTGTGGGGTGGGATATTTCAAAATATTTGGTAGAGTGTGCTTTAGGCTCTCCCTAACCCTTTACCCAAATGAATCCCCGTGTCAAACACAGAGGCATACCTCTGTTATCTCTGTATACACTCAGTCTGTGTCCACTCTCTGTTCACGTGTTTTACTGGTGTACAAAAGTGTGAGCACAGCTAGGTTTTTGTGTATTTAGTTCCTGTTCAGAGGAAAGTAAATTACATTGTATCTGATAAGCTAAAACTAACATCTCAGCACCTAAAATGTAGCTTTAACAACAACATTTTATCCTTATGTTAAAGTAATTTAACCCTTAAGACTCTAGAGGTCCCAGTTCTCAGAATGTTTGAAAAATGCTCCTGCTTTCAATTTTCAAAGGTTGCAAAGCAAAGCAGATTTACTTAAAAGGCCATTGAGGTCAACTGTGACTGCAAGCCATTGAAAATAAAAAATCTATTTTGGCTCTTATTTTATTAATATATGTATCCATATGAATAAATGTATTTAATGATGTGCGCCTCTCGGGCACCCCCCAGGACATTCTGTACAAGTTCAACACATTAACTATTTGATAACTTGAACAGTTTTCATTCTGCGGTTGTACTTTGAGCCATAACTGGTTCTGTGTGGTTATTTATACCATCCAAATAGACGAGGCATAAGACTTTATCAGTGTATACTTTTAAAAAGCAATCTGTCCCCCCAGGAATCTGGAATGGGACGGTAGCAGCTGGGTTAGTGAGTTCATTTTCCCAAGTCCCTCCTTCACATACACATTCTATACAGTAATGTTTGCAATTCAGTCAAGATACAGTTACAGCTCAACTCAGTCATTTAAATAGATCACAGTATACTTTAAAGGGAGAGTGATTGAGTTATTGACTTAAGCCTGTCCACTAATGCAACCCTGTAGACCATCAGGCACAATTTCACACTATTCTGGTCTGACAATTAAAATTATATTTATTGTTTTCCTTGTCTCGTAAATGTGCCTAGAGATTTGAATCTGTGAATTGGTTAAGTGGTTTATACATTTTTTCCTAAAAAACTAGACGCAAAGAAGACAGGTCAGTCCAAATTTAAAGATAGTGTGTAAAGGATTTAAATCAAGTCATAGACTTTGAACTCTCAATCCCAATAAGTGGTTAAGTGAACAAATATCTCATCCCTAACCTGATGAATGGACCTGAGTGTTTGGGCTTTTGGTAGATATTTGAAGAAAGGAATTTTGGGGATTTAAAGTTAAATTCAGATTTAAGGTACATGCTGAGAGAAAAACTTTCACATAGGATTAATAACTAAAAGGAAAAAATGCCAATGGACGCTCACTCATTGGCACCGACGTACATGCACAAACGAGAAGAAATGCAGACTGATTTGAAAAAACAAAGCTCCAGACTGCTGAAGATGGGCCTTTGAATTTGCTGGCTGACCCAATTCCCAACCTCCTGCCCTGCCAAAAACGTGACTAGTTCAGTTTATAAAGAGGGTCAAAATGATGAGTTTGTTACATTCAAACTCACAAAACACTGCACACTGCTCATAGTGCCTCTTAATGTGTGCATGAACAGCTATCTGCTTGAGGTGTGTTTTGGGAAAGTCAGATTTGCTTAGTTTGAAAGTTAAAATGTCTTTACAAGTAGAAGTATAGTAGTAAAGTGTAATTTCACTAGTTTAAGCACAAGGTGAAAGCTGTCTCACAAATGATGTAATACGAATGTGTTTGTGTCTGTCTGGAAGAATGGAGGGGTGTTCATCTAGATTTGGAGCCGGTGCCTCCACTCTCTGCCAGAACTAACTCATCAAGACTCCCGCTGACCTCTTAACTGATCTTTCACATGCATTTTTCACGTATATCCACAAATGTGAGCTCCATGGCTAAGCTTAGGCTGAGTATGATGGAAGATGCACGTGATTTAAGTTTGCATTATCGTCTCATCCTTTGTTTGCTCCCGTGTAGCCTAAGTGGTTCTAAGAAACATTTAGAAAATGATTAATCTAGATGAGCATTTGATTAAAACGGGCTGAAGCAGAGAGGTTAACGTACTAAGTAATAGTGCAGAGAACCTAGCACACAGTTCCTAAAAGGTTCAAATGCTTCACCATCTAATGAACATTTACAGGTTATATAATTTACTTGATTGCAGGAATTGTGTATTTGAATTGTACCACAAACAGTTTTTAATGGATAAACAAAAAAACACCAATGGTGGCTTTAATACTCAACCTGGAGGTATAGAATAAACAAAGAAAGCCATAATGATCTTGGGGAAAAAACAACTGTATTTAACAAGAATGATCAAATGTATATTTGGACTTTTCACTGCATTACGCTGCTGTACATCCTCTCCCTGCCTCCTTCTCACATATTCTTAAAGCCTATATCTTTTGTCTTAATGCTCTTTGTCTAATGATAACGCGCAATCTTCTTTCATCTGATATGTGACGTACAAGTCTTTGTGTCGGACTCGTGTGTATTTCTCTGTGTGTGTCAGTACTTCTATCTACATGTGACCATTTCTCAAGGGAACATTTCCTTGGAAAACTTGTGACAGATTTAGCACTGCGTCCTCTGCGATTATATGCTTGCATAGAGGAACATGCTGTCTTTTTACTAGGTTACAATCACTTAATTGTGTTCATGAGGCTGAGCGTGATGTATCTGAGACCCACTGATGTACTCTAGTGGTATTTTGGTTTTACTTTGACATGGCCCTCTCATGGCCGCATAGGTAAACCCAGTGCTTAGAGAGATGTGCGTTAACAGCAGCTTTTTATCAGCTATCAAGGACAGCTGATGTCAGACTCAATGAAAGCAGATAACCCCCAGAGAGATCATCTCATCTTGGGCCACAGGCCACTGTTTCATCGCTGCACTTTTTATGAGACGCATTTGCAGAAAACACTGCAACACTGGAGAGGTTCACAGTTGGTCCAGATTAGTTTTGAATATTGTCTTATGAATTCCAGACATTTTCCTATTATACTTTAAAAAAGTGTTTAAACATCTTCCTAGAAATTCAAATCCAACTCCTTTGCCTCTTTCAGAAATCTTTGCAGATTTATGCCTGAGGCTGGTTAGTCACCTGGACAGGAGAATTCAAAGCAAATAAATCGAAATAAACTCACTCAAGTGTTTCTTTGCCAGTGGAGCCTAATGAAGGGTGACTCATGAGATGTTCCTCATTTAACCTTGGACAATTTTTATCATTCTGTGATGTTGGAATCTCCATCTGTGAAATAACTTTTAAAAAACTTCTTAATTTGTTAATTTAAGCCTTACTCTAACAGTACCGATGTCATAAAATCGAAATGCCGTTCACATAGACTGATGAAAGTGTGTGTAAAATAAGATTTATTGTTGTTCAAAACAAATCAGCGTGAGGAGATTGTAACCCCCCCCCCCTGCCCCACATCACACACACACAAAGCCCTGTTCTCCCTGAACTCACCATGAGACAGACAGAACCACAACGTTTCACACAAATCCTATTTTTCACTCATTGGGATAACAGCACATCGGCAGAGCGAACGTGTGTGTAAAGCAGCGGAGAGCCGGGAGAGGAGGGGCTTTTAGATTCCACAACAACACGGAGGAGAGATACTGTTGTAGGGATAGAGAATGCGGCAGAAGGAAAGAGCAGACTAGCAGTGGTCGACTCTGGTGGGAGACAGGAATTTGAACGGACTCTCTTTTCAATTTTTTGGCTTTTCCTTGCTTTGTTTTTTTCTCTTCTCCATCAGCTTTGCTCTGCTGTCTGTCTCTCTGTCCATCCTGCCCCTGAGTCTGTCTGTGCCTGCGGTCTTTGTTACCTTGTCCTACACGCAGACTTGCCTCTATCTTAGTTAGTTCTCCTCTTCCTCCCGATGGCTACCTGATGGTGAGCTGTTCCATCTTTTCTCTCTACATATCAAAAGCATTCCTCTTTCTGTCGCCATTCCAAACTTCAACTCCCATTCAATTTTGATCTTTGTTTTCTCTCTTTTCAACCGTCTGTTATCTATACATCTCTGTTTGGTGTTTCAATGCCAGTGCTGGAGGAGCTGTGGGGCCGAGATCTCATGATGCGAGACTCCAGTCTTGGCGTCGGGGTTTGTCCAGATGAGCCCCCTGGCTCACCGGTGTGGGGACCCTTAAGGACTCCTCCTGTTACTTGTGGTGGCCTGTCGCTGGCCCTGGAGCTTCCAGCTCTCATACGGCAGCTCAGGGCAGCCTGGAGAGCTCGCAGGGGGGGGGCCCAGGGGCCAGAGAGAAGTCAAGGCAACACTTGGGTTGCAGAGAAGGAGGAGGTAGAAGATGTCAAGCAGGACATAGAGTACAACAGTGCTCATCTGGAAGGTAATATGCTCATAAAACATGACGCAACCACGGAAAAGCTTTGGGGAATAAGATTTCTGATAAATGTTTAATGTTGAATGTATTTTGTCTGTTTTAGTTTGTGCATGTGTGCGTGCCTCATGACACAGCGCAAAGATCTCTTGGAAATTAAAAGAACTATATTTTTAGAGACTCGTTTGTTGGAGTCAGGTTGTGAGCCTCTCGGTTTTTTTTTTTCATTTGAGCACCCTCCTCACACCCTATGCCCGGGCAAACGTTAGTATTTTTGACAAGGAAACGTGTGTGTGTGTGTGACAGATTAACTTTGACAGGCGTGCCTCTGGCCGTATGTTTACATGTGTGTATGCGTGACATGGGCTTAGGTTCAGAGTGGTAGGGGCAGACAAGCAGATAAAATGAGAGATTTGTGCTGTAAAGCCCTGGTGTCCAATAAATAAAGCTGCGCTACCATCTGCTGAGCCGCAACTGTCCTAATGACACTGATATGACATCATCAACCCAGCTTGTGTCTGTGTCTGTCCACTGACGCAAGGAGACATTATTGACAGTCTGGAGTGTGTTGACTGAATGAAGAAGAGAGGGTTTAACTATCAGCTGAAACGAATAAATGCATTTTATTTACATGATTAAGAGGATCATATTGTTGATCATTTTATGATAATAATGCCATTTCTACCTGACGATATCACTGTAATGCAAGACTGAGGTGAATGTCAAGGCTGACAATGATCGCAAACGATCAGCCAATGACAGAAATGGGACAACTTAAATGTTTTCAACGACATGCTTAGGTGGTTATTTATTCCGAGGGGAATTCCCTGTTGTTACTCATGAGGTAGAAGATGGAGAGCTGCGTGTTATTCACTGCTGTGACTTTCCCCCTTGAACTGCGATGACATCATACATATGATGATTCCTTAAAGAAGGTGAAAGACTGTCCACGCAGCTTTTGATCGTGGCTCACGAGGATGTGTAAAGAAACCGCTCATAAGTTGTCGGCAGTGATAGTGAGTCATTGTGACATTTACCGTAAAGAGCACCGAAAAGTTCTGTTTTTCAGAAACGAGAGGAGAAAGACTCACTACAGGTCCAAAATCTAAATGCCAGCAAAAAGGTATGATTTAAGGGAGAAAGACCCATTTTTGTGAGGTAGAGTTATCATGTGAAGTCAAGGCATCTTATTATTATTTTTTTTAATCAAGTTGGGAAATCAGCCAAACCATTTCTCTGAAGGACAATATCACCAACTCATTTACTGAAATGATTTTAGTCTGTCTCTGTCTCATACGCACTAACCTTATCTTTGACTCATTCCTTTTATTATTACTTCAGTGCAAAATGTGAGACAGCCTTCCTTTTCCCTTATGTGTCACTTGTACTGAAACTTGGACTTTTCTTGACATGACATTTATACCCACTTCTTTGACGGCAAAATTATGATGATGATGATGATGATAATGGTCTTTTTTATCCTGAATATGGGCCTTTTTGGCCACATTCACACATTTTGGTTTGGAAATCAAGTCAAAATCTTCCAGACTGACTGCAGCTGGTTGCTTGTCTGTGCCAACGTGTGAAGAGTTTGTCTGCACACTTACCAAACTGACAAATACAGAGAAAGCTGGAAAAGTCCAAGCAGCTCAGAGAGAGCAAATATTGAATTTACACAGGTTAGCAGTTACTCTTTTATTTTTTAGACAAAAAATCATACAAGCAATTAAAAGTAGCCACTTTCTGAATTTCTGAGAGGAGAGACACAGCATCACCTAATCTACTGTTTCATCTGTGTGAAAACGTCCTGCATAACCACTCTACCTTGTAAAAAAATAAACAACTTATAGCCACATACTGACATGAAAAACTTGCAACGCATCCACGTGAACATTCTGACAGAATGTTCCATAGAATCTCGTTAAGCCATTAGATTCCGTGGATGATTCTACACACTACCTGCACTGCCTGCACTGCAGATAAAGCAGCATCAGCTTCAGGTAGCCTCAAACATAATCTGCCACTGAGTATTTAAGGCTGTTTATTTTTGAGTGTCTGCTTCGCTGCGCGTGCCAGCAATGTTTTCACTGTCACCTTTTCAAAGGGACAACAGCCCCAAAGCACAGTTTGAACCCCAAACACCCACAGACTCGGTGTGCCAAATGAACATATTCCCATCGCTTCCCTGTGTCTGTGCGCGTGGGAGGTGCCTGCCAAATATGCAGTCATGTTTTCACGTTTGGAAACAGGAATTTAACCTCATTTGCAAGTGTGTGTACACATGCGAGGTGAGCGTTAATGCACGGGTGCACAAGGAGGCACGTGTGCAATACCGCCTCTGTAACACTGCCTGATTCACGTTTTCATCCTGAATGACCCAGATCTGTGCAGCGTGGAAACAATGACCTAGTTACCACTCGGTGAGTAAGGGGGAAAAGAGAGACAGGATAGGGAGAGGCATGTGGCAAGAAGAAAGGATGGATCAGATATAGAGAAGGGGGTTTAGTTAAACAAAGCAGAGTGGAGGTTGATACTAAGGTTGGTGTGGATATAGGAGGGAAGACGTAAAGGAAGATGAGGGATGAAACATGAAAGAAGTACGAAAAGACATCTTATGAAGGGAAAGAGAACTGGAGGAGAAGTTGGTGTGAATTTATTTGTCTTTAATCTGAGGGAGTTCACTGCTTCAGGGTTGTTTTCCAGAGGATGCATTTCGTCATCTCGTCTCGTCTGCCAGCATGTAGGACGAAAAGAAAAGATCTTTCCCTCTTTTCCCTTTTTGGTTCACAAAGTAAGCCCATTTAGCATGCAGAGTCACTTTCCATTATATTTGTTTTTTTCGGGCTATGCATACATAAGTGAGGAACCATTGCCAGTTTTCCACAATATATCTGATGCACAGACATGTTTCCTTCCAAAAAAAACAATACCACCTGCCTGCAAACTTAAGGCTTTGGCAGGACACACTCACAAGCCAGGATCTGGCAACTCCAGGGAGTTACCACAGTAACGTCGAACCCATTAACAGCTGCTTTTAGCATCTCTTCAGCAGGAGTCACTGAGGTGATGTGAACTGGCAACCTCAGAGATATAATACGCTCCAGTTGCTCACTGCTGATCTGTAAATTATTCAGTATTCCCATAGCTTTCAGTTTATTCAAGTGAATATCTCATGTGTGTGCATGCGTACTGCCACTCAGGACCCAGTTCTGTTGTGTTTTGTTTGTCACTGGCCTCGGGGTGTGTGAACTGCACTTTTTTATTTCAGTGTTCAGTTGTGCTGTTGTGTTCTCTGCCAACCACTCATACAGCAAAGAAGCATCTGCAGACATTTGAGGGGAAATGGAAACATCTTGTCAAAGACACTTGATGCCATTTCAGGAGATTTGCTAACATACATTTAGCGCATCCGAAAATCACGGGGCCCATTTATTTTCAGTGCTGAAAGAGCGTTTGAATAATTGCTACTATATCATATTCAGACTGGTTATTCTCTGAAGAAAAGTGCCTCTGCTTAAAATCTATTTAAAAAATAGTCATAAAATTAGCCAGCACCAATCTTTTAACGAGGCAGTATTCAGATATGCCAGCTGTACAGTGGCATGAAATCCATTTTCCTCAAGCCGATTTGGATCACATGCACAACGTCCTTGAAATTCAGTGTATGTTTCATAGAGCTTGATTTAAGAGGGATGTTCAATCTGATTTTATGTATGTACATGCTGCACTATTATCTTCTTAAAGCTTTGCTCGCTGCTCCACTTAGAGAAGTGTTTAGCCATCAGCCTCTCATTTGCTTTCTTTGTTGTGTTGCCTCTACAAATATGTGTATTTTTTATATTCATCTGGAGCTAATCACCCCTCTCTCTTTCTCTTCCTGACAGCTGATGGCAGGCTGAACACCGGTCATGGTAATGCTGGTGTCTTGCTGGCAGAAAGACGAGGCTCTTACCCGCTGATTGACCTGAGGATTGTGAAAAGTACGTCTCGTTGTCAAATGATTCATCGATTAAGATTAAACTGCGTGGTGTCATACAGTTTTAAGTTTCCTTCTGGATGCAGCAGGGAGCTGACTCCATTCTGCCAAGGATTTTTCAAGTCTTTTTATGATGAGGGTGTCTCATGTAATATCCTGTGGGAGTTCAGACATCACACACATAAGCCACAAGCCATTGTTTATTAAAGACGGAGCCTTTTTGTCAATGGCCCTTTCATACCCAGTCCTAACTCCATTGCATGTCTTCATTTAATCTACTAGTAGACGAATGTTTCTTTCAGTAAATATATTAGCTAAATGGATTACTTTTATTGTTTTTTGAAAATATGCTTTAAGTTAGTATTTTATATATATATATATATATATTTACACATGTATATTTTATTTTAGCCAGTGCCCATCAGGGGGAGGTAGAGTCCGGCACCAGGAAAAAGTTGAAGCGCCTCCTGAGCTTCCAGAGATACTGCCACGCCTCCAGGTTGCTGAGGGGGTTGGTTCCCCACACCCCAGGGTCCCTACACCTACTGGATGATGATTACCTGGGACAGGCAGCTGTGAGAACACACAAATGAAATATCTCTACCACTCCATGTTATACATGAGAAATACATGTGAGACTGACAGGTTCTGATAGCCGTCTGCTTTTCTCTCAGCACATGCTGTCAAAAGTAGGCACGTGGAACTTTGACATATTTCTCTTCGATCGTCTTACAAATGGTGAGATATATTTTGCATTGGTATATAAGATATCACATCTGCCATGTATCTATTTGTCATCCCCACTAGTTTTTGTGATAAGAGCCATTATAATTTCCTTGTGATGTTGTTATAGGAGTATGTGTAAAGTTTAAAAAAAAAATCTTATTGCTCTGTCTTGTGTTTTAGGAAACAGTCTGGTGACTCTGATGTGCCATCTCTTCAATGTCTATGGTCTCATTCACCACTTCCAGCTGGACATGGTCAAACTGCACAGGTTTCTTGGTAAGCCTCAAGGAAATAAGCTTATACTGGCTGGACCCATCAACTATTCTGCTTTGGTCTTCAATAAGAAGGCCTTTACAGTAATATCTCTATATTTCAAGTCCTGGTTAAAGAATTTGACTTAGCTGTTTATGTTGATGTACTGAGCACCATATTATTTTCCTCACAAAAATAATTTTAAAAGATGATATGATGTGATTTTGCATCCAATGAAACACAAGGGAATTTCAGAACAAAGGTGGTCAATGAGTAAAATGCTGGCTGAAATATTGTTAGACTTCTACAGGCACTGCCGACACAAATCAGTTACTGTCGGGCTGACCCAGGGGCTGTTCTCCTCCAGCTGCACTGTCTGTAAAGCACGTCCATGACCACACAGTTCCGTCCTGATTGGCTTAAGGCTTCCATGACACACACAACGGATTATGCGCTTTTTTTCTTAGAACTTTAGATCTCTTCTGGTTATTTCTATTATAGAGGATTAGTTAAATTTAATCTTCTCTTTCTGGCCTCAGGATTTTTGGATTTGTTGGTACCAAACATTATACTTGTAACTTCCAGCAGCACGGTGTAAAAATTGTCCACTTTAAAGAGAAACGGATAATAACGTTGAAAATCAAACTTTTGCTGTGTGGACTATGTGAATATATGAGCACAGAATACATCTCTTCAGTTTGTGTATCAAAATAGGTTTGCAGGTTTTGACTTTGTCATGTGTCTCCAGGCATGGTGCAGGAGGACTACCACTCCCAGAACCCCTATCACAATGCTGTTCACGCAGCTGACGTCACTCAGGCCATGTACTGCTACCTGAACGAGCCAAAGGTAAAGGTTCCCACCCATCTTCTGTCAGCCTTTCCTCATTCACACTGCAAGGCTTCACAAACGTGTGCATCGTGACATAATCTATTAGCTTCCCTCCCTGAGGGACAATCTCTGCTCTCTTCACCACGACAGCACATCTCTCCACACTCCAAAGATTTCCCTAAAGCCTTCTACCTAGATTAAGCGCCTTTGCATGTTTTCCTTATTCAGTAAGTGCTTTTGTGTCCTCTCCGGTCCCACAAAGCACTTTGTGATGCACCTATTTTGTTAAAAGCACTAAATGAAATTCAATATCAGAGATGACAAATGTGCTCAGAGAGGATGACAAGTCTGCAGTTTCTTTAATCAATACGCCGTTCTGTCCTTCACTCACCATTTAGCATTAACCTCCATGCTCCATGACACACAGCAAGGTGCTCATGAAATGTATTCGTTTCAGTTTAAGTGCAGCACCCATACTTTGAGAAGAGACTTCTAAATACAGTGTTCCTGAAATGAAAGCTCCGCCCATCATTTTTATGTGTTATAGCTGACCGAGCAGCTGACCCCCATGGACGTGTTCCTGGGCCTGATGGCAGCGGCGGCCCATGACGTGGACCATCCAGGGGTCAACCAACCCTTTCTCATCAAGACCAGACACCACCTGGCCTCCCTCTATCAGGTATCGCAAATGTGCAGATCCATGTCAGCCTGCGGGGGATTTCTTCACTGTCCGTTCCTGAACACTATTTGAATGTAACTCATCCCGCGTAGAACACGTCTGTGCTGGAGAGTCACCACTGGAGATCCACTGTGGGCATGCTGAGAGAGTCAGGACTGCTGTCCCACCTGCCTGCCGATATTTCGTAAGAACACACAGCAACTACACGTTTGATAGGGAAACTACTCGTTCAGCTTTCTAATTTTATAGATGTCAATGTAAGGAAGTGCTTTTGTTACCGTTACTTACATTATGTCAGAGATTAGGATTAGTCAGAAAGCAAAAATGCAACTCTTCCTTAGGTAGCACGTTGCTTTAAAAGGCAGAAGGACACCTCTGAATCAATATTCATGTGATTTCAAGCACTGAGAAATTGTCAGTGACTTATTTTTCCTTTCCTCAATTCTTCAGGCAGGACATAGAACAGCAGCTGGGCTCTCTCATCCTGGCCACAGACATCGGCAGGCAGAATGAGTTTCTGCTAACGTTCAGAGAACATCTGGACAACCAGGACCTGGACCTTCAACAGGCTTCACACAGACACTTCATCCTGCAGGTCCATTATCCGCCCACTTTACTTCAGACTTGATCAAAACGCTAATTTGAGGAAATCGATAAAAAGCAGTATTGAATAGAATAGAAACAAAATCTCTTGCCTGCAGATTGCTCTGAAGTGTGCAGACGTCTGTAACCCGTGCCGCGTTTGGGAGCTGAGCAGGCAGTGGAGTGAGAGGGTGTGTGAGGAATTCTACAGGCAGGGTGAGTCCCGAAAGTTAAACCAAATTACCAACCACATTGTTTTATCATCACATGTTTAAACCACATTTCCTGACAAAGGAGCAGGTAGTAAATGAGCTTAATGGTGGAACTGCTTTTGTGCTTAAATGGTAGAGAAATATGAAGAAACCATGCAGGAGCAGCCTGCCAATGCATCAAATATTTAAAAGAAAATCTGGTGATTTGTCTCCTGACACTTTAAGTTATTGAAGGTACTAATGATTAACATTTTAGAATGTCTGTTATGTTTTACATTTTTGACAGCATAGATGACTTTGAAATAAAATGAATGAGCATATTAAGAGGATGAAATTCGATCTCAATAAACCACTTTGTAAGATTGTATTCTGTTCTGTAGGGGAAAAGCATTATAAATTAGAACTCAAATTCCTGCTTTCCAAACCATACAGGTGACCTGGAGAGAAAATTTGATTTGGAAATCAGTCCTCTGTGTGACCAGCGGGCAGATTCTGTTCCAGCTATCCAAACAGGTAAATACCAGACTACACACTCGCACTCAGCCTCTGTTTTACAAGGGCAAATGGATGTTCCCCCGCACAGAGATGCAAGCTGCAAAGCAGTGTGACATGCACATGACGGGTGCTGATCATGTGTCTCAGGTTTCATCTCCTACATCGTGGAGCCGCTGTTTGAGGAGTGGCACCGCTTCACTGAGCCCAGTCCGCTCAGCCAGGCCATGCTGGGCCAACTGCACAAGAACAAAGCTTGCTGGAGCCGCCTCCGACATGCCAACCAACCGTCAGACACGCAAACCGAGGAGCCCGAAGGCGACGGGGAGGGAGAAGACATCCCTTAATGCTCTTCTTGTTTCTTGGGGTGTTTGATTTTCCTGTGATCATGGAGGAGAGGAGTTTTTTACCAAACTCCAGGTTTATCCTCCAGAATGTTTCCTCCCACTGCTGGTGGCTCACTGGCTTTGAGAGTGGGAGCACTGGAAAGGCACATGTCTCAGTTATTGAAGAAACGGCTCCCTCTGCTGGAGCAGCAGAGGATTGGTAGGCGCTGCTCAGAGAACGCAGGGGAGGGAACGCTTCAACCTTAGTAAATAAGTGCAAATTTTGAAATGCCTTTTTGTTTAACCCTGCATAACATGAATGGAGAAAAATGGATCAGGATTTAAAGGTTGTGGTCGCTGACTAAATGGAGGGAATGTTACGCTGCTAAAACAATAGAGAAATTACTAAGCCAAAACTATACCCAGGTCAGTTTGACTGTGCGGGAAAATACGTGAAAGGATTAGAGGACTGTATAAATATGTCACAGGTCTATGCTTTTAAACCTTAAGAAAACACAAATATAAATTTCTTTTTAAAGTTTTTTGTACTGCTTGCACTCCTGATGGAAGATTTTTTCATATCAGAATCTCACTTGTCTACTTCTCACTGAGACGTGTGTTTCAAGAACTAAATTGGTATGTCAAGGTGCTGTAAAGTGTCACACTTTGAGTGTTTTATCTACTCAGCCGATCGGTTTGAGAACTAGCTTTAGTTGGTTTGGACAGTCTGAACACATTCAGCTGGACTCGAGTCGGATCATTCTTATGAAAAGACAGATTTCCTCTTGATTTTCATACTATATTAGAAGCAGTGTAACCTGTAGATACTTTGATGTATGACATCATCACTTCACATGCCAAAATCTTCAGAACTTTTTCACATCTTTAAAGAGCATGGCCATTTAGAAATACAACTCACCTCGCTCTGATGTGATGCTCTGTGACAGCTACACAGGTGCATTCACTTATAGGTTCAACTCACTTTACAAGCTCATGCACAACAAAGCCTTAACTGCAATTTGGTTTGTCAGGGAAACGCGGGGTTTCAAAATGCTCATTCACACTTTCTGCCTGTTGTCCTTCAGCCATACCAGCATACTGAAATACAACAACAGAGTACTGAGGCAGCTTTTTTCCTGCTTGATCTTTCACCCAGTGTCAGGGTCCGATTGGATGTCAGACCCTGTATTGCCAAGGTGCCAAGTTACTGTAAAGATTATGCAGTCACTGCTCTGTTACCTCACTGAGGCTTTTCTAGAGATTCCTTGCCACACTTGCAGCAGGCACTGTGCTGACTTGGGCTGAGAAGTAACCACACACAGTTTAAATGTATTATATCCAGCAGTTATTATAAAGAAAGAGTATGCTATCATTAATGTAAAAACATTCAGTTCACTAAAATTCTATTACTTAATATGTGTATAGTCTCAATGATGAGACCGATTATATTTCCTATGACAAAAGATATGTGTAAATACATAGTTGGTCCAAATATCAGTTGTACAACATAGTTTTTATTACTCTGCTCTAAACATGTACAGTTAAGGTTTTCAGATTTGAAATTAATCTCTGGTGGGATGGACACTGAGCACCCAGTGTTTACAGAGCTCCAGCCCAGATCCCTCCTGAGCTGCAGAGCAGCTGGCTTCAACGCAGAGTATTCTGTAAGAGCATCACAAATGTGTACAAAATGATTAACTGATATGACAGGTGTTTTTTAAAACTATTATTTCTGCCTTTTCAATGAGATGCAGTGCAATAATGTTCAAATTCCAGGCCGCTTTCCTTTGGTTCTACTCCCCGGGCAGTTATCTTGGAAATGATTTATATGTCTTTATAACAGGCTTTGCAGGAGGTCCCGGTTTATATCAGCCGCTCCATGGTCACCGTTTCTACATCACTGCTGTGGTGGAGACTCACAGACTGATGGAAAAAGCCTGGTGTTAATCACTAATGTCATTTGCCGGAAAGTTTACAGATTCAGTCTTGTTTTGATTTGTCACAGCTTCCAGGGTTTAGGGCAAAGCCTGTCTTCACATGTGAACCGGGAACCAAGTTAGGCATCATTATCTTTAAAAAAAAAAAAACATGCAGTATTTGATTCTCTGTGAGTCAGTGTAGACCTGGTCCAGACAAGCAGGCCTTTAAATACCTCTCAGAATTAAGACTGTTACAGGGTGACTGAGCCATACTGGTTTGACAAAGGACTACTCTTAAACACTGTATGTAACACCAGATTCATATTTCATGGCCTAGGGTTAAGTCTCATCTCATGTTAAATCTGCTAATTGATATGATTTCAGACTAAATTTAGAGTCAAATCAAAATGGTATTGTATGTATTCTATATTTGTTTTCATGTGCCCTAAGCACCTGTCCTGTGTTAAATCTATGGTAATTTGATAATTATTTTAAAAAATAATTTGATATATTTCTACTCCGGATTTTAATTTGTCTTCAATACTAAACCAGAAATGTCTATTTTACATAACATAATGATGATCATCTGTTTTGATTAGAGTTCCACCTATCTCATGCCAGCTACGTCGTGACCGTATTTCACACTGTGTGGGGATTGTAATATTTGAAAAGGGGGCCACATTCTGGTTTGTGGTCCCTCAGGTGATTCAAACAGGGTGTGAATGTGCATGGTGGATTGGTCACCTGACGTCTCAACTGTAAACTTGTTTTCTGGCAGCCACCTACTGAGCACTGTGAAGAGCAAATAAACGTTTTTAATGTACAGAAAACGAACTGAGAGCACTGTGCATACTTGTGTGTTCAAATGTTGCCGAAATGCAAGTGGCCTCTAGATGGCAACAAAAGGATACCAGATGATCTATACAGGGAAGGCGAAGAGAGACTCTGTAGTCGCTCCTCATGGCAGGGGTTGCCTCTCCCTGCTGCTTTGTTTACAGTAAAAATAATCCACGGGTCAACCTTTGAATCAACATGAGGATTTCTGTGATGTAACCGTAGCTTCAGGCCGTGGGGTAACAGGTTTGTGTCAACAAAAAACTTTAAAGGCAGACAAGAGATGGGCTAAAATCACACAGCACCAAGTTGTATTTAGTTGTAGTTTAGAGGGATGACGAGAAAGAAGATGAAGATTAATTAGTCACAGTGTTGTCACCAAAAACTCAGGCACCGCGGGAAGGTCTTTTTCCCCACTGACAAAATCCCGATTCACAGGCTACAGACCTAAAAGCCAGGATTGTGTGCTGAAATATTATGGAGCGAGAAGAATAAAGTAACGACTGTAAATAGAGGAGGGAAAGTACCTAGGACACAAAAAGCTGTGCGGAGATAAGTGGTAGAGACAGCCTGTGTCTCTCTTCATTTGCATGAGTCAGATTTGCATTGCAAATTAGGCTTGTAGATTGTTTCAGATGGAGCGTCCACTATTAAATCACATTACACTTAACCAGGAGACCTCTCTAAACTTCATTTGACACTGTCGTGCTTTTTGTGTGCTGCATGGAAACACACACACGAGCAGATAGACTTTCTTCTTAACATTAAGACGATGTTTCTTTATCTGATTTTAGCGTCAGACATCCCTGCATGCTGGTTACTCTGTCTTCCACTTACACACACACACACACACACACACACACCACGGACTATTCACCCCAGTCTGTCAGCATTCATCCAGCATGTGTCACTGTAAATATTGACACTGCAAACAGAGCCCCCTCTTCTGCCCCTTACATGACAGTCCATCAGCCCCTCCTTCTGTAAAAACATGAGCTCCATTAGCCCACCGTGCCGATAACCATCTCCCTCCGAAGCCAACTGAGGCCGTGAGCCAGTGTCCCGGGCTCACACACGGTTGCGTCCCCTCCTTTTCCTTTTTTTAATTCATGTTTTTCTTTAAAGAAAGCAAGTCACACCTGAGATGAAAATGTCAACCGAACCCGTCGTGTCTCCACAGCCCCAAACGATGAAGTGCAGAAAGTGAAAAATGAAACCTGTGGTCATCATATGCTGTGTCTGTCTTGCTTTGTCTGTCTGGCTACAGTGCTCTGCACCGAAAGGGTTAATCTCCAGTTGTTAGTCATCATCCCCACTGTATGTGCCCTGTTTGTCTCCCCTAACTTAGCTTTATCTCTTTTTTTTTTAATTCTTGCTTTGAGCAATTCGACTTAATGTCTGTTAGGTTCTGTCCACCTGCTGATAAAATCTTGCGTTTCTTTAGTTTTTGTCTGTGTTTTGTAGCTTAAAAGAAAAAGAATAAGCGCGTGCGATACAATTTCAATATGAAAGGATTTCCAACTCTTTATCTCCACACTACCCATCCCGTTTACTTCCGTGCTGCTCGTATGGAAGCTTGTAGACAGGATTAGCTGGTCTACTTTTCAATTTTGCGAAAAGAGGAACAGCCGTAGGCCACAGAGCCAGCTAGGTGGGACTGGAGCACTCAATTATGGTTATGGTTCGCATGCCCTGACTCAGCAACTTGTTGAGTCGCATGTCGCGCTGATGATTTAAAGTAAATGTCCTCCGCTTGATGTTATCGGTCTCTCACACCATGGAGGTGCGAGATCTGTCGCCTCTCCTTATCAACGTTGCTTTAGTCCATGAAGGTCTGTGTGCTGGAGAGTATGCCGAGGTCATCCAGGGTTTCACCTCTTTCCGCTGGCGAATGGGCTGCTCTGTTTGGCTGCCATGTCTAAGTTAGCAGTATTTTTCATCCACGCTTGGTGAAATATGTCATAAAATCTAAGTGGAGTAGGAGAGCATCAGGATAGATTGGAATCTGACAGCCAGCAAATCAGGTAATAAACAGAAATGTTTTACTCAACCGTAACCATCTTGAGTGAAACATGCTCTCAGGCAGATGTTTTATTAGATTTATTTTAATTTCCACAACATCCCTTCTTTGTGCAGCAGGTGGTTTCCAAGCAGCGCACTCTGTTGTGGAATGACTAAAGGGAACACTCTGGGGAGAGAAAGGGTTAATTTGTCATGCAGTAGTGAGATCTTCAGCATGCAACCCCCACACATCCACACCCTGCAAACAAATATGTACACAATCGATATCCAAGCCAGGAGCGACTCTGGCTTAATGTAAGTGTGTATGCAAAAGCCTCTTGATAAGATATCCAACCCCAGAGTGCTCTGCTGTGGAAGCAGGCCCGTCTCATTTAAAATGCTCTACAGAATCATGGACAGTGAGAACTTCAGATCTGATCGACGTACAGTCATTTGGTTTCTTCTGAAGGCCAGGCTGCCTTTTTCTTTTTAGGGCAACTGCGTGTTTCCTTTTAGATTTGTTGCCTGCTTTCTCCAATTTGCATACTGCAAATATATGGAGGAACCCGTGGGCAGATAAAAGGCCTTATAGCAAGTGATATGCATGGCATGTATTAGATTTTGTTTGGTACACGGACATTCAACTCTTCATCTGATTCACAAACAAGAGCCAGCAGCCTGATTTCAATCAGGGCCTTCTTACATGTTCATATCAAAAGAGCCACGGGCTCACACACAGTGAAAGTGTTTTTGTGACATGTGACAAGATGATATGGCGCACCGTGGGTCGTGTCTGGTTTTGTATTCTAACAATAAGTCTGTTGTTAACGCCTCGTCCCCTAACCTTGGACCTTTACAACCCTAAAGACTGCATAGGTTGCTGCTCAGTATTCTCCAATTTCCTTTGTCTGATAGAAGATTTAGGCCTGTTTTCGAGAGATTCCTTTTCTGACACGGTAGATTTTATTCACCACATTTTGACACCACAAACTCCCACTCAGTAAATCCAATTTCTTGTAATACAGCAGGCCTCCAAAATAATCTTATCATAGTCACTCACAATTCATCTTCATGCCTGCTGAGAGCCGCTTCCTGTAAGTCATGCCCCCTCTTGTTACTTCAGGTGCAGACCAACCTGCCTGGCCTGTTCCTCAGGTTTGGCACTATAAGTAAAACATATTATATTATTGTATTGCACAGGCTGCGTAATATTGTTGTTCCTGTAAACAAGCCATTTAGTTGGGGATCAATCCATGCGTGCCAGTGTTTATTTTTTTCTAGATTTGGGGGACGCGTGTAATGTTTGTTGGTGGTTTGCATGACCAAGTTTCATGGTGGGATTACATTACGGGTTTTTAGTCTCTAACACCCTACAGAAATATCCTTTTTCACTCAGCTCTATAGCAGAGTCTCCGTTTTTTTTGCAGAGAGCTGGAAATGGGTTCTGCCAGATCACAGACCAGATACTGCACTGGAAATTCACTTTTAAAATGTTAAGTCTTCACAAGCCTTATTTACAGTATATATTTTAATTGGTATATAATGGAAAACACTAAACAAATTATTAGCTCAAATGAGTAGTGAAGTGCTGGCAAATTTGCCATAATACATTTACACTATTCGGAAATAAATCTAATTATCATATCAATCTAACCAGAAATCATACGGATTCTCAAACTTGTGAAAAAAATACCTGCTCCTCCTGCTGAAGTTCAGAGCCAAAAGCAACTAAATAGCTAAACAATAAAAGTTCCTGTGATTAGTGTTGTTTCAGTGGAAGAACTGTTCTGTTCTTTGAGAACTACCAGTGATGGTCCTTGTCTGTGGATTCTCCTTTACTGCTCTGTCATGTTTCTACATACATGCTCTTTACCGTCTAATCATTTTTTAAATTTATATCCAACATATTTTGAATGTTTTTTGCTCCTAAAAAGGGGAGTTGGCCATGCAGTTGTCGTGGTTAGTTGCCATCTGTAGTTCCACCACTGGGTGCCAATGAATCTGGCTCCTAGTTGCTTTAGAACTATTGGACATGAAAACAAATATATTAAAGCAGTATGCACAAAATTGATAGGAATTGATATGAATTCATCTTAAACAAAAAACCTTACTCAAAATGAGGAAAAGGAGAGAGACTGACAACAGAATTAGGAAGCAGGTGACAGCATCAACAAGACAACAACGAACACTCTCAGGTTTCCAGTCGCACGGTGCGGTTTATGGATTTCCCTCCAGCCTATCAAGCAACTCAAAGTTGAACCTAATCCCACTGGACCTTTATATTTGTTGGACGCAATCTGGGAATGTCCCAGGAAAGGGGAATTCTGGGGTAGTTGGTTCTCCAAAGTTAAACTCCTGCTTTCCCAAGCATTTCATTTGACTATCAAATCTATGCAAATCCTCTGTGCAAGGGAGGTGACTGTAGGGAGTGCACAAGAGGCTGGGTTAGTTTATATGTGTGTGTGTGTGTATATATGTGTGTGAGAGAGAGAGAGAGAGCGAGAGAGAGAGAGAGAAAGAGAGACAGAGACAGACAGACAGACAGAGAGAGAGAAAGAGAGAGAGAAAAGAGGGATTCTGTCTTTCATGCTCCATCTTGCCACCACAGATCCCTTATCCCTGGGTTAACAAGAGCTTTTTGTAATGAAAATGTGGTGTGGAGATACATGATATTTTGCATGTGAGACTGGATAAGAGATGGGCCTGTGTGTGAAAATGTGTGTTCATTGAGTTGACCATATTGCATCACAAAAGAATGAGTGACACATGTACCTTCCTCTTTTCAGTTGCAAAACAACTGTCTTCTCGTTGTCCCTGCTTCCGTATGTGTGTGCATGCATCTTTCTTCATTCATATGAAGCCTCTAGTAGTAAGTTTTTTCGGGTGGAGAAATTTTGTAGGGAAGTTGTCACAGAGAGGGAAGTGTGTAGAATAAATACGCATGGATATGCCAAGTATTGTTTGCCTCATTGAGAGAAAATTTCCTCTTTTTCTTTTGT